AATATAAGAATCTGTCAAAATAATATAATAGATCCTAAATTATTAGATTCTTAATAGTTTTAATCAATTGATTTAATTGTTATTAAATAATATAACTTTGAAGTAATAATTCAAGATAAAAGTGACCGATTCATTGATATAGCCGATCCACTGATAAACTACGTTAGTATTAATATTAAATCATTAAATAGATTGAATGAGTATTGGTTTTATTAAATTATAATATTCTTTTATAAATGATAATTCAAACATAATTATTCATTAAAAAAGATTGATAATATAATCTCGAATTATTAATATTTATTATCATAATAATGATTTTAATAAAAAAGATTTTTTATTTTTTATTTTTTAATGCCTTTATTCTTATTATTATATTGATATAAATTAATACTTAATAATTTAGATGTAATATTTAAAATTTATAAGAGTCCATTTTAATTATAAATAATTAACTTAATTGAATCTTTTATTTTAATCATTTCGAAGATAATTAATAATATTTTCAATCTTCTTATAATTCTTTTAAATATACTTAATGATCAAAACTAAAATCTTTTTTTTTTAAAAACATTTATAATTTTAGGATTCAATTATTATTGGAATATTATAAGTTATATCTCAATTAATACCTTATCAATTATTTATTTTAAATAAATAATATACTTTACAATAAATAATCCATACATATAAAGTTTGTATTGTAGCTTATATAATAGTTGTATTCCAATAGATAGAAAATACTCTAATTTAAAATCCTTAAAACTTATAATATAATTCAATTATAACTCCTTATCATAAAAATCACTATATTTATATTTATACAATTTAAATTTATAGAAATCTCGTATTTCCTTTCCATTTATATAATTAATATTGAAAGAATAATCTTTTTATTTATTTATTATTAATTTATAATTATTAGATATAATTTTTAATAGAATTAAAGATTTAATAATAGATTTGATAGATTTAATATTATCGAATTATTTTAGAACTGAATATTTAATATTTCAATATAATGCTTATAATTTACATTATTGTTATATTACTTAAGGTTCTAAAAGCTAGGATTATAAAACATATTATTATAGTATCAGAAGACACTAGCGTTAACGTTAGCGTAGCTATATTATCCCTGTCTCAATATATATAAATTTAAAACTTTTATAAAATCTTTAATAACTTTTTAACAACAATTATTGAAAGAAGACTATATATCTTTTTTAAAGTTTTAAACTTAAATTTATATAGAAATTCAAAAAAAATGAAAAAATTAATAGATATAAAGATATAATATATAATGAGTTTAAGATAGTATAAATAATCCCTATAATTTTAAGAATTTTTTTTTAATCTTTTAAAGTAAATATATTATAAACTTATAATAAAACTTTTTAGTTTATTTTTAATAATTTTTATCAAAAATTTATTAAAGTTTTTATAAAAGTTTTAAATTTATATATAATTCTTATATAAATTTAGAAATCGATATTTTGAAGTTTTAGATTTCAATATAAAAAAATTCTAAAAATTTAAAAATTTCAGATTAGATTCAAAACGATCTAGATTATATATATAAATTTTCAATAAATTCTATTTATAAATAAGAAAATTAAAGATTCCATTTTTCGTATAAAAAGTGGTCTAAAAGGGGAGTGGCCCGAAAGTAGGGTACCCGACTTAGAGAAACGTATCGAAAAACGCATATTGACCAAGTAGAAGTGCACGGCTACTGTACATGATACTGCTCAAGATATTGGTGCAAACTATGATTGTTCACTCAAACTCGTTGATGAATTGAGATCGATTACAGCCCTCAGAGCCTACACCGAGTGGTGGTAAGGTTGCCATTTCCGTTCATAATCCATTTGTTTGTGGGGTTGGGAGTTGGATCCAAGGGAGTGGCAGCTGAGAACTAAGTCGGGTACCCTACTTTCGGGCCACCCCCCTTTTGGGCCACTTTTTACACGAAAAATGGAATTTTTAACTTTCTTATTTATGAATATAATTTATTGAAAATTTATATATATATAATTTAGATTATTTTTGATTTACTTTGAAAATTTTGGATTTTTAGAAATTTTTTATATTAAGATTTAAAGCTTCAAAATATCGATTTTTAAATTTATATGAGAATTATATATAAATTTGAAACTTTTATAAAATCTTTAATAATTTTTTAATAAAAATTATTAAAAATAAATTATAAAGTTTTATTATAATTTTATAATATATGTATTTTAAAGGATATAGAAAAAAAAGAAAATTTCTTATAAATAAATGTTTAAAAAAATATCTTTAAAATTATAAAGATTATTTATACTACTTTAAACTTATTATATATTATGTCTTTATATCTATTAATTTTTTTTAATTTTTTTTTTAATTTCTATATGAATTTAAATTCAAAACTTTCAAAAAGATATTTAGTTTTCTTTTAATAATTATTGTTAAAAAGTTATTAAAGATTTTATAAAAGTTTTAAATTTATATTTAATTCCTATCCAATCAAAAAATCGATATTTTGAAGCTCTAGATCTCAATATAGAAAAGTCTTAAAAATCTAAAAATTTCAGAATAAGCTTAAAATGACTTAAATTATATATACTCAAATTTTTATTAGATTAGATTATATATTGATAGAGATATTGATAGGTTAAAAAAGCGATTTTTGATGTAAAAGGGTGGCCCAAAACAGGGGTGGCTCGAAAGTAGGGTGATCGACTTATTGCTATGATATTTAGTAGTAACAACAAGCTACTTCTAGGGCCTGTTTTATCAGCCTGTTTTATCTGAATATATTCAGCCCTGTAGTGGCAAAGTTAATGTTATGCATAAAGAGAAATTTAGTATAAATCCTTATATAAATTTTTATTATATATATAATAGTATTAATCTTTCTTTTGTTATTAATGAAATATTGATTTTATTAATAATGAATATTATCGATATAAAATACAATCTATTTATTATTGAATTTTAATAGAAAAAAAGAAAATAAGGGCTTTTAAAGACCTTCGAGATTCTAAGATCTTTGAATATTAGAGTTGTAGGAAAGGTAGATAGAAGAGTATATGTGTAAAGGTTAGGAGGAGGTTATAAAGATGAATGGGAATTAAGGAAAAGGAGGAGGGGAATGAGTGTAGGGGTTAGAATGAATGAAAGATATTAGTTGAAAGTTTAATAAGGGATTTATTTATTAATTATAATACTTTATCTTTGATTTATTTTTTAATTAGAAGTTTTATTATTATATTATATAATATAGAATATATTAAATAGATAATTTGATTTTAATATAAATAAATCTTTTCATTTAAAAATGATTATTTTAGGCTAAAAGTTAGAATTAGCTTTCGAAATTCAAGAAATTTATTAATACTTTATTAATTAAAATAAGCTTTGTAAACTACAAAGATTTAGATTAATTATATTAATACTTTAAAAACGATTTATTTAATATATAATTAAAGGATTGAAGAATTTATTGTAATGACGAAGAGTTCATTTCGTTAAGCACTGATTCTGCTATTACAGGGCAGGCAAGGAGGATTAATTAGCATCCGCAAAATTGCCACAAGTTCTAACACTCACAATTGCACAACCTTTCCTATCAACTAATGATTGAATGACGGATTTGCCTATGAACTTCGCAGTTGATGGGCATCTCAAAATCAAGTGTATCGTGTGGGTTGAATTCTTTTGTTTTCGATATCTGGCGGAATTGTTCATATGAATAGTATGGATCACCAGCATCCAGAAGAAATGATCCAGAGTAGGATCGTTTCCATAATGCTGCGGCATCCAAGAACTGACTATTAGCTCAAGCGAGAGTCCATTATAATAATATTACTTACTTGCATCATGGAAATTGGACAGATTGGGAACACAATTCACATTTCCTCAATTGAAAAGTCTACAAAGGTCTGACTATCGACGGAAGAGCACTGTTTGTATCAAATGCAAAAATCCTAAATACGGCTTTCCTCACTAAACGAAAGATGCAACATTCACACTTTTGTTCCATGGAACAGTACGATGTCTGACATCCTGTTAGAAATCTCAAAGCAAGTGATACGACTAATTCAAGAAAATCAGAAAAGAACATCAGTTGGTCAACCATTTTATTTGAAATGTATACAGACTTTTCACACAGTCGTATTCAATTAGCTTAATGAGACAATGGGCTGCCGTTTTCTAAATTCTTCGCAGAGTTATTGTTTTGTCATTTATACATTAGAATTTGCTAACTTAGTTTCCAATTCGTCAGCTAACATTTAGGATTCACTCGGATCTCATCAACTCATAAAATTTCACTCTGGGCTCTACCTTGCCACAACCAGTCTTCTTCCTTTTTTTCTGATCAGTATTGCTTCTACGAACACCTTCGATGCCACTCTATCACTATCCACACTCGTAATATACACATTTATATCTGACCGATTATACTACTTGTCATGTTCCGCCTTTCTTCTCAATCCACTTTCCGTCCTCTCAAAACTATGCCATCATTCAATCTTTGGAGATATGTTTTGTGAATTAATTTGTGGGTTAATACATGACATGATTCTTTCGAATCAAGAGTCACAAAAGGCCCATCTGACTGCAAATCCGTGGGAGCGCAACGACAAAAATCTGAACAATTCAGTCACCATATAAACAGTAATTAAATCACTAATCACTGACAAAGTAGCTCTTCGAATCATTGAGAGGTCGAGTCACAAGTGCCTAAATTGTATCACATTCAAGATTTGATACTAGTAGCTTCTGTTCCCCAACCTTCTTTTCATTTTCACATACTTTTTACCCATTTCTACAAATAACAAAACCCAAAAGACTTCAGCCAAGCTACAAACTTTCCTATATCAAACAGCAAACTTAGCCCTTTAAACCTCTACAGATATTAACATCAACGCTTTTCGATCCAATAATATCAAGAAATTTGTCGGTAATTCTTGTGACTGAACTTCAATATGTATTCCTCACATACCAAAACCATGGTTGCTATTATCTGCCTCCTCCCCCTCTCGTCTGCTCTTGCAGTCCATCGCTCCGAAAGCTCTTCAAATACGAATGGCAACAATCACTCCTCTTCCACATCTTCAACTCTCACTCTCAGGCAAGAAGACTACAAGTGGTGCCACACAGAACATCCCGGAACATGTACCCTTGCATATATCATCGATTTAACAAAGCCTCATCCAATCAACATCCAAGTCACCGATCACAATTGCGATGATGCACTCGGTGGTGCGAGAAATCTAGACATAGGCTCCACTCTTGCGGATTTCGAAACGGATTCCAGACGAACAGATCCGGTTACAAAGTTTGCGATTAAAAGTGTCGTGAATGGTAAGCCTGAGATGACAGCAGATGGAAAGGAATTATCATAGCATCCTCCTGCGCATCCTGATGCAAGGACAATTCATACCGCACCATTCGATTGTCACATAAGATAATTTGTCCGATCTTGATGATAATGTTATTCATGGCGATGCGGATGTGTAGCATAGGGATCTAGGGCGGATCGAGATAATCTGGAATTAGCTAATGTCCGTCTACTATAAGAATCAAACTCGTTGCCTTTCAAATTCGTCGTTGCTAGTGGAAGTGTCTCCAGCTGAGCTAACTATCCCCTAGACTACCAACTCATGGCGCCCGAGTGGTCCGTGTAATATACCCTGTATGAAGAAATCTGATTGATTAGATTGGGGTTTTAATGCCTTTTCAGTCATTTTTTTAATAAAATAAGATTCTGATTCTAAATCTTGATTTTCTCAAGATCATAAAAGTAAGAATAGATATTATTATATTTCAAATTTTGAAATAAAAATATTATAAAATGGATTTTATATTAAAGATTGAAAGTCAATATTTAATTAAATTTCGATAATCCTAATGATCTGGTTGGTTAATAAGTCCCTGTTAAGCGAAAGCGCCTTCAGTTGATAGTCTAGGGGATATGAAACATGATAACTGTGATTTTCGCTAATGTTCAACTGCACGTGAAGTATTTATATCGATGGGTTCCAAAAGCAGGTACACAAGAAATTCAATCAATACCCTTTCTCCTATCCTAGTCAATGTTACGACGGCATCCAACATACCGCGTCACATGGTTGGAGAATCACGTGATAGACCTAGAGGATCTAGGGGATCGGAGAATTGGCATCTAGATCCATAAGATCCAGGGGATCCAGACAGGATAGGACTATGGGTTCCGCAGAGAACGAAGGTCTATATAAGGGAATGGGTTTCATTACAATGTAGAGCTTCGTGCTCAAGAACAATCATTAGTTTCATTATTATAGTTACGAGAATTACAACCAATTACAACCTTATTGAATTCCTACTTGAAATCTAGTCTAAACCACCTCGAGAGATCTCTAGACACTTCCACATGACCCTAGAGGCAGCTCCCGTAACAGTCAACCTAAATCACATCATTAACCATGAACATGGCCTCCCAAATCTTCAGGCCAAACAGCACGGAATCCCTCCTGACCAGGCGGCGTATAATCGATTTCTCCGTTGACCATTGGGAAAGCGATCCCTTTCAATAAATCATTAGACTCAAAACTCAGAGCATTTGAAATTCCAACTCGTTCAAATACTCACCATAAGTAGGATTGATCAAAGAAACCTGGTCAAACATTGAAAATGCACGAGCAGTGGCCCAGTCATCCAGTTTCTCCCAATTATTACATGTGTGCCAACTATTTTTGTTAGTCCTGCTATCGGAATTCATGGCAACGAGAGAAAACCTATGGTAAAACTAATTAGAGAGACACATACCCGGTGAAATCTGGCATGGGTCTTCTTATACCTTCTTCCCATTCAAATGTTGTGATGGAGGTATCGGCGTGGCACATCAATGCTTGTCGAATATCATCAATGCAGTGATCTATTCCAAAATTAGCCTGATCACAGCCTGATCAAAAATCAGAGAGAAGTCCCGTGATAAACTCACCGACGTGCATTTTTGTTGTTGGCCCTTGAGCATCAGGATAATATTCCGCGTAAAATGCTTCTCTCATGAATTTCTGCCAAAAGTTAACGCCATCCGTGATTCCCCGCTATCAGAAACTGAATTTTGAAAAGTCTTACCAAACAATGTAAGTGATGGTAAACATTCAATTGACCGTAGTATCCGGAGCCATCAGCAAGAGAAAGTGCGGTCCTACCCAAAGTAGCGAGCTCCTCTTTGCTGAGCCGTAGATTATTGTTTTTGACCAAGTTGTGCCACGCAAGATCGAGCTCCTTTGAAACCATTTAGTATGTGCTGATCAATTACCAAAACAAAGACACCCAAAGGGGCTCACATACCGGACGAGGATCCCCCTTGTAGAGACTACTTGCGAAAAGAGTTCCATTATAAAAGACCTTCTCATACTCCAAAGCCTCTGCTGCCGGTGCTATTTCACCAAGTTAGGGAGAATTGGTCCAGAGACACCCAGAAAAATCTCACTTACTATATACAAGTGTAGGTGGCCCAGATTTCTGTTTAAAAAAGCCAGTTGCTGCAAAAATTCCAATAGTATACGTCGCGAATATGAAAGAATGTATCACAACTCCCCACATCAACCTTCTTTGCTTCGCATTCCGCGGTCTAACATCGTATTCTAAATTTTCATTATCTTTGGATTCGAGTAGGCCTTCGGATGATTTGAGAAGGTCTTCGTTGGAAGATTCATCTTTGTAGAGAGGTCTATGAGCAGGAACGGAGGTTCTTGCTGAACGAATTTTCTTATACAATGTCTCCATCATCGTGAGTTTCCCAACTCCTTAGATTTAAATGTTTATAGGATGTGAAGAGAATAAAGAAGAAATGTGAAAAGTATGGTTGAAGCATTTTAATCGCAGGGGAGGAGCTCTAGGCTTGTGTAGGAATTTGTTGATCAATATGCAGCTTGATTACATGGCATTATGATTTCGTATCACAATGAGCTAGATGCACGACGATCAAAGGAAAGTCGCCATTGAATATCATACGATCATCAATCGAACGATTCAACATAACCATCAAGTATTATCATCACCGGGTAGAGGAAATGTCAGCAATGCGACCCCTCGGTAGTTTTCCCCCTCATCGTAAAATGGTTGTGGAAGTAATGATATGTCTTCATCAATAAGCTATATAAAATTGCCGAAACGAAGTTGCACTAGTTGCACTTGCTGACACCATTTAATTTCCCACACACCGCCATGCCCAAATTACCATCTTTTGAATAGCCTATGGCGTGGGAATAGAATAAGCATAATTTGATAGCTCCAATGCACATCGTTAAACTAGTTTTTAGTGAAACGTGGGGGACGGGTGGCGTACTTCACATACTCATTCGACGGCCAAAAGCTTATTTCTAACCATCTTTATTCTAACCTCTTACAACCAATTATTGTTGTTTTTAAGCAATATATTGCTGACATGTTCAAATGGCAACAAGTATGCAGAGTTGTAGCGCTACAAGACGTAGAAGCGAGATCGGACAGTGACATAGCCGATGGACGAATGATGGAATTGCCGCCACCAAGCAAGCGCTAAAGCCTGTAAGATGACTGTACAAAGTTGCCCTTGCTCGAGAACAACCTATTGCATCAAAAGAAACAGCATTTTGTCATCATATAAGCATTATCGTTACAGTGCATTTTACTTTGTGGTGGGTGATCGTCTGTATACGAAGTCGTTTATTCTGGAAAAGTGGTATCGTCGGAACATCAATGATATGCAATGCAACGAGAAACCTTCCTATTTGAGGTCAAGCCTCGAACGTACCAGAGGGGAAATATGGAAGCTCGAATAGCAGCCAATGATGATGGCAACATCACAGTGCCGTTCCGGAGATGATTTGACTTCGGAGATTTATAATCTCAGGGATTTGAAATGAGTGGAGAAGTATCTGCGACTCAAGGTCGGGATACATCGTCCTGCATTGACATGATATGGCATTCGTGGTTGTGTGAACTTTAGATGATATCCATAGAGCCATTTCAGTCATCTTCCATCTAAAATGAAAGTTAGCTTAACGCTACGGCAATTCTTTCCTGCACTTACGAGCCCCTCCAAACCTCCCCCGAAAGCGAAAAATCTGAAAACGGCAAACGGATCAAAATGCATAAGAAAATCTGACTGTCTTTGGGCAATCTCAAGTATGCCACTTTTCAATGAAATATGAATCGAGACATATTGCATTGCTAAATCTTCCCAGCGAGATAAGGTGAGAGGCATTTAGTTCTCGGAGAGTGTGCGAGTCTATTTTAAGCAGCAGGTAGTCAATTTCAATCATGAGATTAGGCAACCAATATCAACGCCGTCTCACGCCATGTTATAGCGTCATAGATCCCCCTTGCCTTCGTAGCGCTCTACCAAGCATCTCTTCTCTCGTCAAAATCATCTTGTCTTGCTTCTGTTGGCTGATGAACCTCAACCAACATCAGTCTACTAGCTCATTCTTATGTGGTAAGATTTTAACCTTCATTCCTCCCCTCCTTTTCTGTACATTGCGCATTGTAATGATATGTCTCTCGGTATGGGAATGACCGAGGACGAACTAAAGTGGTAGTTGCCTCCAGGTTAGGTACGAATGGGAAGATAGGTAGACAGGAGAATCGAGTTTACTGGTTAGGAACAGTGTATCATTGAATGCGATGAGCTTATTAAGTTTGCACCTGGCAAGATGTCACATCAAAATATCTGCACATGACAGACACTTGAATTACCTCGACCTTCCTATCTGGATAACTATCTTGGGCTTCTCAGCTATAAGTATAACAGTATGTTTGAGTTCCATCTATCTCATTACTTCATCAATTCAAACACATCTTCATCCAGACTTTCGTCAAGAATTTCCATCCTTCCTCATCGAACCAAGGGATCATTCCTCAAATCGTCAATATGGTTGCCATCAACAAGCTCATTGCTCTTCTTCCATTCTTGGCTGTTGCTACAGCTGCCCCAACAGCAAAGTCTTTCAAGTCTGGTAAATGAGACATGCAATCATCTTTAGTTCGTTCTGTCACTAATATGACGGTCCAGTAGTACGCGCTGTTGAAGGTACAGACGAGGACCTCTCTCAAGTCTATAAGAGAGGAACTGGTACCACTGATCAAGACCTTTCGCAGGTATATCGACGTGCCGAAGATGAAGATCTATCTCAAGTCTACAAGCGTACAGTAGCGGGAACTGAATCAACTGATGAGGATTTATCTCAAGTCTATCGTCGTTCTGAAGACGGGGATCTTTCCCAAGTTTACAGACGGACTGAAGATGAAGATTTGTCCCAAGTGTACAAGAGAGCAGAAGACGAGGATCTCTCTCAATTATACAAGAGAGTTGAAGATGAAGACCTGTCTCAGGTCCACAAGCGACACCCAAACAGTGACGAAGATCTTTCTCAAGTCTACAAGAGAGCAGAGGATGAGGACCTTTCCCAAGTTTACCGACGCGCTGAGGCAAGCACCGACGAGCATCTTTCGCAAGTTTATCGCAGAGCTGAAGATAAAGATTTATCGCAGGTATACAAGCGTGCTGAAGATGAGGATCTTTCTCAACTCTACTAGAGACTGTACTTGGCAACCAGCATCATTTTCGTCTCAGAATCCCAAACGCAGACTCGATAAATGTCGGAATTGAATTTGAGATCTTGTGCCATGTAAATGGTGGTTGTTAATTAGAAACTATGAAATGGTTTAGTCTTGTGGTGAATGACAAGTTTTTTGTGTCTTGAGATATTGTGGTGAGAGGACTAATGTTGGTAGTCCTCGATTGAAGTGGTCTCACTAGTTCAGTTCCATACCCTTATTCACTCCAGAAGCTGTTTGGTTCAATCGACGTATTGCGTATTACTCTCTTCTGCAAATTGCTTGTGATATTTCGTCCTACCTATGGTGGATATCCCGGAATGAGGTGACATTTTGACATGACTCACCAGTGAAAAATATTAGCATCCCTCATATGACTGTAATGACTCGACAGCCAATGTTCTTGACTAAGTTCTTATACCGTGAGGAATTCCGTATTGACTTCTCACATTAATATACTTCAAGAATCTTCATACCACAATACCGAACCCATATCAAATCCGCCCACAACGAAATATTTCACAGGCCACAAGTCGAAATCCACATCACTCTTCTATTAACAAATAATATAACAATGCTTTTCCAGTCATTATTTCTATCGATTTGCCTCTTTATCTCCAACAGCAGCTCTGCTCCACACCCTTACACCTCTGGTGCACTGATTCCATCTACCAGTGGTACCAAGTCGACCGAGATTGCCGTTCGTGATCTTTCCACGAAAGATGTACTTTGTTGGTATGGTACTGTACCACCGCCTGTGAACTGGTGCACCTACGTATACGAGATACTTCAAGATGTCGAAGCTTTCAACTTTTACGTCTGCGATAGAAATCTCGATGCCAATGCAAAGGTGTTGGTCCAGCTTGGTTTAAGCTTCAACATTGATACCAAAATCGATACCCGACAAACACCATTAGTGCACAATATCTCAGTACGAATAACCAATGATCCTGAGAGTAACTACCCTTCCTCCGTTTGGTACAAGACCTGGTTTACTCTTCCAACTATAACCTCGAAAGCGCCGGATGGGCGAATCATTGGTTGGCAAGCATTTGAAGATTGCGAGACAACTTTGGTAAGTAAACTCTGATGTTTAGTTCTATTGTAACCGTGGCATTACTTCCAAGTCGCATCTTAGATAGCCCTCAAACCTGCACAAACAGTTTCCCTTCACTTAAGCAAACAAACTAACTTATTGGGCTTCCAGGGAAACAGATACGCAGGTGTACCATTCTATTAAAACGAATTTGGTGTTATTTGGGCGGGAGGGTACTCCGCGCATGCCCAGGTCGTGGCCGTTAAGGTTATGCGAAGCTTTTATGGAAGGCGTTTGACGAAGAGATTGCATGGATTTTCAATAGAAAACCAGTATGTAATGAATGACGCAACAATTAATACTTCATCTAAATCGCAAAAAGATTCTTAGAAAACCATAAATAAGTTGTAATGCTACAGATATAATATAATAGAACACTTTACAAATATGTAACCCCTCTAATTTCTAGACTAATTTATAGTCAAAGTATGAAATGTTCTAATTTATAGGATTATATTCTTTCTAAATTATTATTAATTCCTTTTTTATAATATTGATTACAATTTTACTTTATATACATATATCGAGGTTTGTTATAGGCAAAAAATGAAAATTTATTACATAACTTTTACTACAACTAATAATTATAGAATTTCTTTATATAATTTAAAAGAAACATTTAATTTCAATTTATTAGACTTTATCTTTTATATATATATAAATGTTTTTTAAAACCGTTTTTTTCTTTTTTTAAAAGAAATATTATAATATAATAATATTCTTATAATATTTATAGAGGATTACTTTATAATCGTATTATCTTCTACTCTTTTATATTATTTAAATGATTTAATTAAAACCTCCAAAAAAATTTTATTTGATATAAAAAAAGATTTAATATTTATACAGTATATAAATAAAAAGTTTAGAAAATGAATTTATATTATATAGAATATAATTTATTAAAGATTTATTATATATAAAATTATATTATCAAAAAGATTTTATTAATAGTTTTATTTATATTATTTCAAAATCTATTTTAGAGTTTCCTTAAAAAAGTATATTAATATTAAAGATTTTTATATTTAATGTTTTTCTTATCATGTATAAACTATTTTATAATAAGTAAGATAAGCTTGATAAGAATTTTAGTTTATTATAAAGAAAAGAAAGAGATGAGATTAGATTAATAATTAACATAATCTAGTTTAATTAATATCTAAATTATAAATAAACCTTTCATTTAATATATAACTTTAAAAAATTAATAACATAAAAAAAAAGAATATTGATTAAAATTTTATAAATTGATTAATATGATTTCTTTTAAATTATTTTAAAAAAAAACAGTATTTCAAAAAAATTAGTATAATAATATTTAATATAGATTTGATTATAATAATTAAACTATTATATATTTCTGTTTTAAATATAAAAACTAATAATTGATATCGATCTATTCAATATTTATTACATTGAAAGAAAATATTTGATTAAATATAGAGCTTTAAAAGAATTAATGAAATTAAAAGAAAGAGATGAATTTAAAAAATTAAAATTTAAAAAATTAATTAATATAAATTTTTTCTTTATATCTCAAAAACTAGAATTTGTATTTTATGTGATAATATTCTTATTAATTGAATTATATAAATAAACTAGAAGATTATTTTCTTTATTCTTTAAATATTATTATATTAAATATAAATTTTGATTTTCTAACGTAGTTTATTAGTGCGTGTATTATATCAGTATATATACTATTCAGTTTATATATAAAATTTATTTATGTATAATCATACACTTTCTTAATTTATTAATATAATTTATTTTTCCTAAAAAGCATTATAATTATTTATATTAATAATAAGAATTTCTAATCAATTATTAGACATTTGATTTAATATAATAGTTATTATAAAAAAAGTTTTTTTGTAATGAAAATCGTAACAATCTCAATATTTTTTTTAAAATATAATGAAAATATTTATATAAAAATTAAATTTTTATCAAATATTTAATTCTCTTCTAAAAATAATGATTAATTATTAAAATATAAATATTAAAAAAACCTTGATTTTAGTATAATTTTGAAGTAGTATATTGTTACAACGGATTAGTAATAGGCTGTAGAATCACTGACTTATAGGCTATAATAGTTATAAGAATTGTAATCAATTATAACCTTATTGAATTCCTATTTGAAGTTTAATTTAAACTATTTCGAGAGATCTCTAAACACTTCTACATGATCTTAGAGGCAGCTCCTGTAACATATATATACTAATATGATATACATACTAATAAACTACATTCTAGTTTTATTTATTTATATTAACGTAGTTTATTAGTATATATATCATATCAGTATATACACTACTTCAAAATTATACTAAAATCAAGGTTTTTTTAATATTTATATTTTAATAATTAATCATTATTTTTAGAAGAGAATTAAATATTTGATAAAAATTTAATTTTTATATAAATATTTTCATTATATTTTAAAAAAAGATTGAAATTGATACGATTTTCATTATAAAAAAACTTTTTTTATAATAATTATTATATTAAATCAAATTTCTAATAATTGATTAGAAATTCTTATTATCTATATCAATAATAATGTTTTTTAGGAAAAATTAAATTATATTAATAAATAAAGAAAATACACGATTATATATGAGCAGATTTTATATGTAAAATGAGTAGTGTATATATTAATATAATATACGTACTAATAAACTATACTATTAATTAATTCCTTAAATTTTAATAAATAAATTTATCTCTTTTTTTTTCATTAATTCCTTTGAGATTCTGTACGGAATTGAATAGTTTTCTTCTTTATTTACACACTACTAAATTCTAAATAAGTTTTTAGCTCAGACAAAAATCTATTTTTAGGGTTTTGACCAGATCGTTTAAATAGGCCCGGGTAATACAAAATCAGCTCATAAAAATGTTTTAATTCTCATTGACACGTGCCACAAATTACCCCTGAATTTTCCCCACCCACGAACCATCTCCTCGGTATATATTCACTAATGAAAACCAAACACATCTCATTTTCGTCCTTCCAGGCAGCGAATTTGCACCTATTTGGTTCCTCTGCACTTGATTAATTTAATATCCGAGATGCCATCGCTGCATATGGATGAACTACGCCCCCGTACCAAAATGAGTTTCCAAAAACATTGATATTTCAACATCCAACCTGACTTGGACCGGTGAAAGTACAGCGTTCGATCGTTACTAGATTCAAACTGGAACCCTCGAAGGCATGAGATTAACAAATATACATTGGGACATCAACGGTAAAGTTTTCCATATGTGAAACCCATTTCATTCATCGCGTAAATGTTCATATCCCGCTTACATCCCGCTTATCATTGAATATGGTAAGGTGTCTTATGTCTCCATCCGGAAGTTGAATCCACATTCCGATTAGTGGGCCAAGTGGAAATACTAGTGGAGTTGAAAAGTGCCGATTTAATCGACAGTTGATCTATCCTTGTTTTTAGCAACTCTAGAAATCTTCGATTGGTCTTCACCAAAAAGTAATTCGTTCAAAATCCTATCATGGAGATAGAAAATGAGCCAAAGGTTCCTTCCCCTAATTCGTATCTAGTTGAGGAGTTGGGTTCATACGTAGATGTGGGAGAACCAGAGTTAGATGTGAGTTATCTTTCAGCTAATGCTCGAGTACGAGAATTGATCAATTTCAGTCGGAAAATGATGCAGATTCTGCTCTTGGTGGAATGAGTTTGAGGTAATGAATTCTGATATTGGAGGTTTCAACTGGATTTAACGATACATAAGGAGTTCTAACTTCACAGTCGAATCGGAATTTTATCGTCATATCGAAGAAAATGGAAGAACGTATCATCGTTATAAACATCGTCGTAAGTGGTAGCCGATGAAAGTATATTTCTGTCAGTGGCAGCTAATCATTCATGGGACAGAATATCCGCTACCGAATGATGCAGTACGTTCTAATAATATTTTGTGGAAATAGCATTGGCTGATAGACTTTGCAACATTCAGCTAGAACAAAATAGACTTGGTATGTATTGACGTGGCATTCATGACTGAGATAGGTTGTTCTGATGATTGTATAGAATTTCAACACAGATTTCTACGTATGACTATCGACGGAAAGTTATTCGTATCGCCGATCAACACGGATCGACCAATGAATGTGTTGGATGTTGCCACAGGGACTGGTATTTGGGCCGTTGAATTCGGTAACTTCTTGAATATTGGAATGAGAAATCTCCAACGACATCTCTAACAATGCGTAGCAGATGAATATCCCAATTCAACGGTGATTGGTACTGATCTTAGTCCTATTCAGCCGCATTAGTGGGTATCAAATTTCTCCAACTTTCAATTATCTGAAGATATTTACCCGGAACTAGTATCCCTACGAACTGCTCATTCCGAATCGAAGACGCTGAAGATCCGTGGACATTTGACGATTTAAAATTCGACTTAATTCATGGCCGCGCCTTGTTATCCTGCTTTCGTTCTCCAAAAACCGTGATTGCATCGGCATTTGAGGCTCTGGCACCGGGAGGATACCTCGAACTACGGGATCCAATCTTTCCTTTCAAATATGCATCGCCGCCGCCGGAGAATTGTGCATTAGTAAAATGGAATAATATGATAGTAGAAGCTTCTACGAAAGCTGGGCGCCCTTGGACAAATGGAGCACATTACAAGAGGTGGATGGAAGAAGTTGGTTTTGTTGATATTGTGGAGAGAAAGGAGTATGCACCAATGAGTCCATGGGCAAAAGGTCAAAGAAATAAAGTCTTGAGCGTATGGGTTCAGAGGAATGTCTTGATAGGCCTGGAAGGATTGAGTATGGCACTTTTCACAAGAGTCTTAGGGATGGAAAAAGAAGAGGTAAATGAGCTTTTGATAGGTGAGAGCAGATATTGAGAGCACTAAGATACATTGCTATTCCGAGGGGTATGTGATAGCCTACTAATATGGTCCTTCCCTTATACTGACGGGAAATGATAAGCTAACATGTCGTATCAGGGTTCTGGTGTATGGGAGAAAACCTTAGAGGAGGTTTTTTGTGGAAACTCAATGGGTTCTTCGAGAATTGGCAATATAGGAGACGTATCGTATTCAGTTGATTCTCGACAGATATTTCACAGTTCAAAGTATGGAAACGACTAGTAAACCAATCGCTTTTGGTTCAAGGATATACCCATTTTAATATTAAGTAATTCCAGTGTAGGCAATAGTATACTATAGTGAAATTGTAGTGTGTATTAGTATATTGATATTGCAGCTAGTATGTATAGAAAGGAGGTTTTATTATTCTTGTATATATTTATATGCCTAAAGAATACTAGCAATATACTGAAATATTAGAATCCAATATATTCCTATTCAAATTAAATTAGAAATAAGGGATTCCTATATGAGGAATGGAATTTTATTATTTAATATGAATAGAATCCCTTTTTTCTAGTTTAATTTGGATAGGAATGTATATTTTATATTGGATTCCAATATTTCAGTATATTACTAATAATATTGAACAATTAAATAATATTGAATACTTTCAATAATATTAAATTCTATGTTATATATGTATATATTTCAAAAAAATTCGATACGTATTATCAAACTAACCCGTATACGAAATACGGGAAATACTATTGCCTATACTGAGTAATTCTGATTCAAATGTCTCATTACTTAAGCTGCGTGGTCAATTATTCTTATCTAGGATTAAGCCCATAACTATGAGGTTGCCAAACAAGTTCTTTTGCCAGTTGATAACTTCCACAGACTGCAATGATGTATCCGATGAATATAAATGATCGAAATCGTTCCTATAACATAACACAAGATCCCGCGAGTAGCTCTGCAAAGTATGATGCGGAGCAGACTTATACATTGTGTTTCATTCTGAGATGGAGAGAACTTTTCTGGACGTTCCAAGGTGGTGGAGTTCCCATTCATATACTCGACTTTTCTTTATGTTCATAAACGCATTCATGTTCATCCAATATTTCCTTGCATACTTTCTACCTAGGCTCCATCTCATCATTGAATGCATCTCATTTCTCTTCTAAACCCTTCCATCTACCCTGTCAACATGTACACTCATCCCATTATCGTCTCCCTTCCCTAAATCATCTTCATCTCCGTCCCTCCTCATCTCCCTCAACATATTGGATCTTCTCAATCGAGGAATGGTATCCTTGCATGCCCCTTTTATAATCTCTCCTTCGAAAAGAGTATGAATTCTCTCTAGTGGGACATTCTTTGTCTCTGGAACACAAATGACCGCATAAATCGTCATCAATATACAACATCCGCCAAAGAGCAAGAATGTTCCATACGTAATCCCACTCAGCATATATGGCGTGATCTTCGAGATGACAAAGTTGAATAACCATTGTACTGCAATAGCAAGTGCCATACTAAAACTGCGAAGATGGTTGGGGGAACATTCAGAACTGAGAACAAATGGAATGGGTCCCCAACCAAAGGAATAAAACACTACAAAGAGATAGACGCAGATAATTGCGAAGATGGAGTTTCCGTTTAAAGGTGCTCCGTCGATTGGAGGATTCACAGCTTGGTTTATACCAATATAAAACATAGCAAATGCTTGACCCAATCCTCCTACAATCAAACACCATTTTCTTCCTACTTGCTCTGTCGCAAACATAAGTCCTAGTGCAGTAATGCAAACCTTCACGACACCATAGATTCCTGTTGCAAAAAGTCCCGCAGATGTACCTTTCAAACCAACCGTTTCGAATATTTGTGGAGAATAATAATTGATACTGTTTGTCCCAGTCCATTGCTGCCAGAACATGAGGATTGCACTTAGAGAAACAGCGTAGAATGAAGATTTATTGGAAACCGTGAGTTTCATTTGTCGAAGGAGAGTTAATTTCTCCTTGCCGTGGAAGTCTGCAATGATCTCATTGTATTCGCGTTGAATCAGTGGATCGATAGGAGAACGACGACGGACGCGAGAAAGCGCATGAAGGGCCTTTTCGTGTTGGTCTTTTTCAACGAGCCATCGAGGACTTTCATTTTGGAAAAATAGTCCGAGACCGAGAAAAACACCTGGAAGCATTTGTAAAGCGAAAGGAATCCGCCATTTAAGTGGATTATTGCCCGCTACGTTTTTGTTCATGCCATAATTTATGAAGTAGGCGAGCATTATACCAGTTCTATAATTTGTTAGCATGATCTCTCGAAAATGACGAGAATTAGCCACTGACACATTGAATAACTGCATACACCCCACGCATCTCCCCCTAATTTCCTTACTGGCATTCTCTCCAATGTAAGTCGGTACAACCGCACTCACCAATCCAACTCCAAATCCTCCAATGAACCTTCCAGCATAAAGTTGTCCCAAACTCGTCGTTCCAATCCCACTGGTAGTCTGAATGATAGACCCAGCCAAGAAGATGAAATCGGCTACGAACAATGCCTTTTTTCTACCAAAAACATCACTAATATAAAAACTCGACATAGCACCAAAAAAACATCCTCCCTGTAGGACAGAAACAATATTCCCCGAAACATTAGTGTAATTTGAGGAGTCTTTGTTGAGTCCAAAGGAATCTTGAAACGAGGACATCGTGAGGATTCCACCGATAAGTCCGGTATCCCAACCGAAAAACATGCCGCCAAATGAGGCTACGACTGTGAGGAAATATGCATTGCGATTTATGGATAAATCATCGATGAATTGACGATAACGTGAGGGCTTTGGTGAATTCGATGTTTCAATGATGCTATGATTATTGCTCGATGACCCGAGGGTGTGAGATGCGGACATCGCGGCAATTTTTTCCAAATTCCATGGGATGGTCCAAAAATAATTCGTCCAAGACGTCTTTTTGGAGTAGGGAACAATATAAAAGACAATTGCTGATGATGAAAGACACAGAGATCAGAAGCAATCAACCGACGAGGGGAAAATGATTTTCACCTCATTCTACCATATCTACTTGTATAAACAGCGAGTGGATCAATTTTTTGGTATTATACAATACAACCAGTCATTGCCGTCACCTATTTCCGCTTTTCAATCCACCCCCACGCCATTACTCGTACCGCGAAGATCTGGGGCGTAACAGATCAAATCCACTAAGTCACTTATTAGAGCGTGTACGTCGACTGTTCGCGGGGTATTATATAGTACAAGAGCATTCGTATGATAAGACCTTTGTGGAAAAATCCTGGCATTTGAAGCATGTTTTGACTAGGATTTTGGAGCGGATTTCCTGAATAGTCTTATCCGCGTGATATACTTCCGGGTAAATTTCGTTTGGTGGAAAGAGGTTGACGAATGAAAGGGGAGTAGAGTTTCTTTCACGTCATACTGCGTGTAAACCGAAAACGTAGAGGTTAGATCGTACCCCACGGGGAAGAGGAGTTACCCGAGACTTTTCCGGTACTTGAAACGATAAGTGGGATGGATGGCTCAATCCATTTATCAATAGAGCAATCATGAGGATATCTATTCCTGTAACTGCTATTCACACCAAATCATGACTATTGAATGATACCTGTCATGTTACTGATTTTCCCAAACGCTTGTATAATTGGGCTTAACCATAGCATGACTGTCGAAAGCTATTTTGATCTGCAACTCGTACAATTATTGATATGTGAAAGCTCTTAAAAGACTGTGATCCTGTTCAAAAAAAGATGTATCGATTATTGGCTTTGGAGACAAAAGTTTGGGAAGCAAAGGCTGACATCCCTCTTATTGTTTGAAAGTCCTTTTCGAGGTAAGCGCGGGAATAAGTAATTCAGTCTTCAATTCTCATCTGGTTGCATCAATTTGTATTTGGGGCTACTTATATATTTATAAAAACCTTGTTCCCGACGATACTGAGTCTTAAAGTCGAGCTTTGACATTAATCTTACTGATCCCCTCCTTTGCTCTGTCTCTCAATAACTTCCTCAATATTTTCCCGCTCTGAACTCCCGTTAGCTTGTGTCCTTTGTGAAATTGCCTTAGACGACCATCCGAGAGTGGGGATAACAACTTACTGGATTCTTGGGAATTGTATCTACGAACTCCACACCACCCTTCAGCCACTTAAACCTACTGGTCCTCTTTTCCACCCATTCCATCACTTCTTCTGCAATTAGTCCGTTTCCACTCTCGCAACTCTTCACGATATAAGCCCTGGGTACCTCCCCTTCCCTGATCATTACTCCGATCACGGCTGCATCTGCAATCTCTGGATGTTCAAGTAATAGCGCTTCTAATTCAGCAGGAGCCACTTGATTACCCTTTACTTTAATAAGTTCTTTCATTCGATCAACGATGAAAAAATGCTTTTGAGAATAGACATAAGCAATATCTCCCGTACGAAGCCAGACGCCAGATGGAGAGTCAATGAGAGTTTCTTGGGTAGCGGAAGGTTTATTCCAATAGCCTTTCATAATACTTTGATTTGTTAGATGCTTTGTGTAATGTATTATGAGTGTTGTGGATATTAATTTAAGAACGGGTACATGATGGTCTAGGGTATAGGATTAACTTACTTAGGTGCTTGAACCCAAATTTCACCCCGTTCACCCTGTTTGAGTTCCTCTAGTGTTTCCGGATCCATAATCTTCGCATGACAATTGGCGTTAAGTTCACCTACTGAATTTAGTATAGGATCATGCCGAGTATCGCAGCCTAGAAGTGAGCAAGTTGCTTCAGTCATTCCCCATCCTTGCTGTTTCATTGATCATTAGTCTTCGCTCGATAACTGTGAAAAAGCAAGTGTGAGGAAGTAATTACAGTAAGTTTGACATTCCCATCTGGCCACAGCTTCTCCGCCGCATCTATCACATCACCACTTAGCGGTGCAGCACCAGAGATCATATCAATGACACTACTAAGATCGTATTGTTTAGTGAGCGGCGATTTGACGAGCATCTACACATGTGTTTGTCAATACTACGTGCCCCTCATTCCATGTGACTGTATGATGAATACTAACAACAACGATTGGAGGCACCATATTCAATGAAGTAATCTTATACTTTTGCACTGCTTCCAACATTCCTTTGAAATCGAATTTCTTCATGATGTAAACCGGAATGCCTCGTTTCGGTGCCACAGATCCGAAAATTGTTTGGCCCATTGCATGGTACAAAGGGAGGAAGCATAACCATTTTCTATATGTAAAGAATGTTTAGTGGACAAGGATCGCTTTTGAGCGTGAAGCTTACGCTTTCTTATTCCTTAGTGGCGTTTCAGGATGAAGCTCATGTAAATGTTTATATTGCATCGAGTTCGCAACATAATCTATGTGATATTATTGTCAATCTCTGATCGAACCTGGACAGTATTTCCTGAAAAGAATGGAGTTTGAGATATGCGATAACTTACTATAATGCGTAATCATCGCCCCTTTAGGTACACCCGTCGTTACAGAACTATAATTCAAACAACAAACCGTTTCCTTGGGGTCAAAATCCTCCTTCCATTGAAACTCTCTACCTACCTCCTCACTCTCCAGAAGTTCCCACCAACTCTTCATTCCTTTCATCTCCTCTTCTTTTCTATCAATGTTCTTACCTCCATCGCCGAATACAAACATGTTCTCCCTCCCCAAGCCTGCATTCTCCGCTGCTTTGATTCCGACTATTAAACTTTCCTCACCGCAAAGTAAGAACTTCGCTTGACAATCACTTAGCTGATAAGCTAGTTCCCTTTCCACAAACCCCGGATTTGCACCTGTAAAAATTCCTCCTGCCAAGATAATTCCCATAATAATCACTGGGAAGAATAGATTATTACTTGAAAAGAGTAACACTCGATCACCTGGTTGTAATCCATTTTTAATTAATCCAGCAGCTAAACGTTGGGAATAGAGTCGAAAATCTGAGTGAGTGAAGAAGCGAGAGCGATTTGTAGCGTCAATGAAAGCCAATTTATCTGGGAGAGGATGATCGGAGGAAGTAAAAAGGTAGGATGGAAGGGAGATGGGAGGGATGGCGAGATGCCAGCGAGAAGAAATGGGCATTTTGTGTGCGTATTGTTATTTAGAACAGAGATTACCAGAACTGAACTGATACATAGAGATAGAAAATTGAAAGGGTAAAAATTGTTTTTCACCATCTGAGATGATACATTGTAAGATTACATGTATCATTATATCTACTAGGTGATACGCCCGACTTAATCACGGAACCCTCCCACCCCCGCGTTCGTCTAATTACCCCGCAAATTATGGGAATGTGGATGAAAAAGTGGTACACTCAATCACCTAATGATATTACTCTGTATTGAGATGCTAATAACTAAATCTCTCGTAAATACACATGTTATACGAGTGGTTACAGATAGATCTTTTCGACGGTATTTCGTATTAAAATAAGAATTATCTGAATTGATATCGAATAAACATGAGACTTGTAGATATCACTTCACTTGTATGTAGTAACTTGCAAAAAGAAGAAATGAAAAAAGAATCAACGAAAAGCATAGGGAATCCTCATCATGATTGTACTAGGACGTCTATTTCCTGCTACTAATGGGATATCTATCAAATTTTACCTACCCCGCATGGAATGAAGAAGACCGCCTAAGAGCCTCTCATGACACTGAACGAAGTCTTTCCGAAGTCAAAGCCAACAATCTTTCCTACCCTCTCTCACAATTCATTCTTATCTACTCCGCAATAGGACAGTGATCATAATTACCATTAATATTATTTCCCCACCATGATGGGAATGGTGCCGCAAATCCACCGGCTCCAAAAACTGCAAAACTCAGAATGAAAAGCACGGTATAACTCGCACCATCCCAAGCTCCAGTAATCAAGTACGAATAGTTTTTGAAGATATTTGGTCGATAATTACGGAGATAAAATTGGGTGAAGAAACCTGCTAGCACTTGGCTTAGAATTACGCAGGTTTGAGATTGGTTGTAGGGAATATATCCAGCGTATTGGATGAATTGAGGCATGTTGATTTCCGTTACGGCAAAACCACGAATCTTAGGAATGAACTGTATTAACATTTCAATGATTCAGTGATTTCCAGGGGCTGGGAAAAAAAAGGAGTACTTACAGATACGACGATACGATGAGCAAGAACAATCGCGGCACCAACCACCAATCCCAATGGGACAATGGATTATTTTGCCCCCGATTTATAGAGTTGCTTTGCCAATGCCCAAGAAGCTGCATTGGTGTTGAAAGCTTGAATAGTGGCACCACTCCATGAACTATTGCCATTTCCTGTGGAGAGAAGTTCCCGATTACCATTCACGATGGATATCATTACAACATAATTGACGAAACCACCCAAGATAGTACCATATACTTGAGTAAGAAACATAACACGAGGAGGAATTTTGACTGATTGACGAATTAGTCCGTGGTTGGTGACTACAAAGTTATGGATACTTACGATATTCGCCTAATTTGAGGTCATTGGAAAGATTGACTGTATTCGCAATAACATTATGCGACCAAGCCGCAAAATATATATTTCCAACTGGACGTCCAGGAAGCATGAGACCTGCCAACATTTTTGACAAGTTATTTGTGGCGATTCCGTTTCCGTATCGAGCATATAGGAGATTACTCTATGAAAACTTTAGAATGACACGAGAATGAGGAATATTCAAAGATGTACATACCAAAGGAGCAATAAAACAACCTAATAACAACGCAACAATATACGCCCGAACCGGTAAAGTAACATTCTCTTTGATGACAACGACAAGACCAAGAACAAAGCTGATAACGAGTACAGCAACATACCACCACCATGGAGCTTCTTTATAAGTTCTAGCCATATGTGCATGATGTGGATCTTCGTAAGTTCCTGCTCTTGCGCTTTTGAATGCTCGGATGACATCCCCACCCCAGAAAATAAAACAATGCGTGATCAGTGCACCGATCTAAAGTGATTGAATCAGCAGTCGGGAACGAAAAAAACGACCCTATGGGAGACAAATACTTACAGCAGCATTTGCCATGAACATAGCGTACGCAAAGCTTCCTGTTAGATTTGGATTGCCGAATTCCTCCAGAGCAGTCTCGTTGAGGACACCATTGGTAAAGACTTGTCCAGTTGGATATCTTGAGCCATTTTCTGAGCGAAGTTGTGTTGACATGAATGGTTGTGACTTTGAATCCCAAGTATTGGTATAGTAAATACCGAGCATGGCAGCAAAGCAGACAATATATCCGGATAAACTATGAGCTTGGGTCTTGAGAGGAAGAGAGGTGTTGAAAGAAGTGATCTAGGAATTGATTTTGATTAGCTTTTCTTTACATCAATCTCGAATGAAAATCACGATTCTCTGACTTACATATTGCCAATCGAACGATAGGGTAAGAAGTCCCAGGCCCTCATTGTTTGTCGCACCCCCAAACAGATTGGTGAGTGTTGCCGCTTTACTTCCCGTAGCATTCATAGCTGCCAAAGATGGAATTGAAACAGAATTTAACCAAGGAAAGAGATATGCCGGAAAGAATTCATAGGCAAACATGCTTCCAAATGCATACCAAAAGTATCTGAGAGGTTTAGAATGTTTTAAATCTTGCTAGTGAAGTCCTTGAAGTGTCTTTACTGTGGGTAGTGTACTCCAGTGTACAGACTCAGGATGCCAAACCATAATTGGGCGAAGCATCCCACAGAGTCCATATCCGAATAGACCAATCGATATAACTGCCAATATGACCGTAGTAGCACTGAGCAGTAATCCGTAGAAGAGATTCTGAGCTGCGAAGACTGTGATGGTTTCTGCTGCATTGGATGCTGATGTGGCAGTAATGGCACAAATAGCGTGTTCTTTGAGGTTCCACGTTCCATAATTGAAGGAGATGATTCGGATGTATAATGGTATCTTGCCCTGTCCACCTCTTTCTCTCCAACGAGCCTCAAATTGTTCACCGCGAGGAAGTACCTTTGCCCATGTCTTGCCCAAGAAGTAGGCAATCAGTACACTAAAAGTACCTTGAATAACACCCAATGAAGTTGGTTTGAACTAAATGTAAAGATGAGCTTTTGTTGTTAATGAGAATAATGTTGGCTGGTCCTCACCGAGTAGATCTGGTACATCACTGCCTGAAATCCTGATAGAATGGTGGCCAAGAAAATACTTCTGAAACTCAACGCTGGCTGCCCATCATCTCTGAGTGGTAATAAGTGAGCAGCTGCGTCGGCACCAGTAACAATTATGAAATCGTCACTCTTTTCATCTATAGAACCATCAAACAATTCCTTAGTGTCAATGTCTAAGGTAACCTTGGAGATTTCTCGATTGTCAGCCGAAATACGTAGCTTCTCGTCGATTTCATGATGTGTTGGGACAGAAACCATATGACTCTCGACAGGATTGAATGCCCCAACAACAGATATGTCATTATTAGTAACTGGCATATTGTCAGATTGACTGTGGTTGACTTTGGGTTGGGAAGTCACAACCTGTTGGCGGCTGAAAGTAAAATAATGATTTGAGACACAGGCAAGAAATTCAAAGAGTGTTGCACACTCTCTCATATATGGCTCCTTGCCAGCTCTCTGGTGATACCCATGTTTGCCAGTGGCGACAAAAGTCTTGGTGTTGCGGAATACAGAAACGATATCTCGTACGAGCACGATAAGGCAAGTAAAATCCTTTTGTGATTGTAGCCATATCGCACGCCTTCAATAGAATCTCAACTGGGTGCGTGAATCCAAAGTATTTTTGCCACTTGAACGCTCGACAATTGAAGTGTACATCCTACTTACTTTTTGAAAAGAATGAACATGGAATATTGTTCCATCGGACGATACTAACTAGATTGATAGTAAGTTGCGTGAATTGCTACCATTTGAATGGCGCCAAACCCGATACTCCCGCTGGGTATGAATATTTCCTAGGGTTATTCTCTGGACAGGTTTTGGCTAAGTCGAGGCGGGATCACATTGGTATGGTGAAAAGTTGCGGTCTCTCGAATACTTCCGGGCACAATGCTAAAGTGAGAGGCGATCTAGACTGAAAAACAAACATCGATGTAAAGATGTAAATGAAGTGATAGGTGGGATGATCATTGAGATCATATTCCTTCTCGATTATTTTTCTTGTAGATTTCAATCAAAGGGTGGAACCAGCGATTAAGAATCATGTTATCTCATGGCATGTCCGTCAAAATTGAGAATGCGAGTCGATGTGTCGGTATGTGCATGGATGAGTGGACCTAGTGCAAAAAGAAGGCGTCTCGTTTTCAAGACCTTTATAATTACCCATGAAGAATACCTTACCCAGCACTAAATGCTTGTGTTGCTGCTACCACGGACCATACTGTGACCACATTACTTTCTTTCAGTAAGTTTGTTGGTCGAAAATGTGGCTGTTATTTGGACATGTCCACCTGAATATTGCCGTTGATTCAGACCATATGTGATCACAGTACTTTTTAGGCACAAAGAGCCCTTGGTACGATTCCCTACCTACCAGGAATCGATCAGTTTCTCAATCGGCTACCGAATTTCATATCACACTATCAATCTTTTATGTCGTACCTCTCACAACGGGATAACCAGTCGTTCAAACACCCTAGTCAAACGTTTTGGCTTGGCTAGATTACATTCTGCCGGAGGGCCAAGCCGGATGATACGTTACTCTCCACAATAAGAATGTCGAACTGCTACCGACATCTGCTGGATTGATAAGGACTTTCCACATCTGGAAATAGAATTCTCGTTTAATGTGTTGATTAAGATACTCTGGGAATTTCCCAGTTATCAGTAGGTCGATGTTTCCAACAGTTGTTCTGGTTTACTTATCTTGTCTAATCATTCATCTAATCTATCCGAGCTGATATTTATGTCTTAGCATATAAGTGAGCTGAAAGCGAATGAGATTGATTGGTTGTTTTAAGAATTTGGTAGCACGGATGTAACTTTGAAGAGCTGTGATATTCTAGTCTGATAGTGAAAGGCTGAAATCACATCGCAATACAATGTTTATGAAGTCCCAAGGCAATGGATCGAGCAGAGGGAAACGATAAGTGGTCTTGCCCGTTCAAAGTAGAGGCACAGATGTGGATGAGAAAAAGAGGCAGGTGGGTAAAGAAAGTTTAGTCATGAGTTAGTTCAGTCTTTCCCCGTTTCTCTAGTTTATGATGTGACCAAATCTAATGATGTTGCTTCCTTAATCTGTATATAATTCTTAGCTTCTAGAAGGAAATAGAACACGGACCATGACTCGGTCCCGACACACTCATTTGAGTAGTCGCGTGCGAGCTTCTATCACTTTCGTTAATATCATAGGAAATGGTGCAATTTACAGCTAATCACAAGTCTCAAATCTCCAACTAAACCAACCAAAGTAGATATTTGACGATTTGATCCTTTAATCTAGTTATTCATTTATTCAATATAATACATTATTGAATACCCTTGGGTTAATCTGAGAAAGCCCAAACCACAGAGTGCTGGCAACTAATGCAATTCCGTGCACAACCCCTCATGCCCACGCTGAAATTCCCCCGAGCCCCCCCTTCCCCCACTTATGGCAAAAATATCTGGTGGTGGGACTGAATTACAGAATGTCTGCCAAAATTTATCTAAGAGAAGTCTTTCGAAAGATTTGTTGCTACCAAAAACTATAGGTCTCGTGTAAGAGATACTTTCTGCACTAAAGTGAAAAATAGTTATATGTTAAAAGAAGATGCTTATTATGCACATGGGTTGTAAGCGATAGAATGATTTGATTGTTAGCTTGTTACAAAAGGCTTACTCTAGTCACCAACGTCCACAAGGATTATAGACATACTTTGAGTTTCAATTTGCAGCTGTGAAATGGAGAAGATTAAAAATCCAATACGGATAATCGACTAAATACTTCCTACGACCATTTTATCTTGTTTTAGATTTTGAGACGACCCTTTTCATCCCCTCTCAGCTAAAGAATTTTTACGTCTAGCCTCAACCCATCGCACTGGCTGGAATATTTCCTGGTGCAAAACATCTATCAACAGCCACCGCACTATTTCCCCACCAATTTGGGAATGTCGCATTAGGAAGATTGAGACCAAATACCATAACCGTTTGCATGAGCTGTGTACCGCAATCTAGACCAACTCCTAGAAGATAATTATACTTTCTGAACCAGACGGGATGGTAGCGATAGACGTAACCCATGCTTTTCGATTGTTAGTACGCGGATTGATTTGAGGGAGAAAGGAATGTTAAGAATATTACATACAAGAATGCCGAAACAGCAGCACTAGTCATCAAATTCGTAGTCTGATATACCGGAAACGAGGTAGCTCCAAAACAAATCAATGTCGGATTGAATCTCTCTCCAATATTCCACTGAGGTTTCCATTTATGAACTAGGAATGTGAGAATTACGAGCACAGGTCCCATGAGAAATCCATAATAAATCCAGGAATAGATAGAGTCTTTGCCAAAAAATATTTTGGGGCCAAGAACACCCCAGATTACGGAGAGGGAGTAGTAGTTTCGAGTTTTGACAGCATTCCAAGCTTGAGAGGCAACCTCGCCGGTCAATTTGGGGCCTTCGGAATCTATTATGAATCCTAAAGATATCAAATAAGTTAATTTGTTCACCCATACAGAGACGTTGGGACTTACTCATCATGCCGTAATTGATAAATGGACCCAAAAGTGTACCATAAATCTGACCGATAAACATTTCGGTTTCCGGAATTTTCATATAGAAACCAAATTTATAGTCAGAGATCAAGTTGAGATTCTGCTCCAAGATCTGTCGACCGTAGACCATACATGTAAGAACAGCAAGAGGCTTTCCTGGGAAGAGGGCTCCAGCGATGACTTCTGATAAAAATTGCATTCCAACTTGCATATTGGCAACACCCCATAAAATTCCATTTGGAAATGTGAATACACATGAAATTATTGAGATGATTATAAATCCCCTTTATTGTTCAATTAGTTGACATGAAACATTGGGTCAAATTGGAAAAGACTTACCACCAAGGAAGTTGCATTTCTCCTCCATACAGTTGACCAATAGCAAGTCCAGAGCAGACAAGCAAGAGTATTCCATACCACCAATGCGGAACGCGAGGGAATACTTCCATGATTTTGAGATAAGGATCATCATAATTACTCCTTCGATTTCTGAAAGCATCTTTCATTCCTCTATAAGCAGGCATACCATACCATAGAGCAGCGTATAGCATAGCACCAGTAGATGCAGCAAAGCCGAAGAAGAATTGAAGAGCATATGATGTGGACCAGTATGGCTTAGAATAAGCGTCCATTGCTTCTTGGTTCAGTGTGTGATTCGGATTGAGAATTCGAGAAATATTATAAGTTGCGCCAGTGCTATCGTACGTACCAGACCCCATAGCTGGAAAATTCAAGGCATTGAGAGTATTGGTAAAATACAAAATAGGATATATCAACCAACAGGCAAGCATTGCACCAATAAATTGATTTGCATTTGCCCAGAGTGGTGTGTAAAGTGGTGACCAGAAGGAGACGTAGTTCCAATCTAGACTAATGTCGAGTATTCCCTGAAATGATCATGAGTACATCATAGTCGTCACATCAGAAATAGAAACTTACAAAACCATAATAACCTGATCCCATCAAATATGCTTTCCAATTTCCATGCCCAAAATAACAAATCAATGGAATTGAACTCAATAATGGAAAAATGACCGACGGAAACCATTCATAACAGAATGCACAACAAGCCACAATAGCGAAGAATTTGAGAGACCTCTTCGTAACTGCAGGATTCTTATGCATAGCATTGAAAAGAGATACGTTTGGTAATACTCCTGGGTAGTAAATATTTGGAGGCCGAACAAGGATATCCCGAAAGAGTCCTGCGAATCCATAACCTATCATCTGAGTGGTGATGAGAAACAAAATTCCCCAACCAGGATTTATCTTACGGTGATAGTACAATTCCATTGCTGAAAGAGGACCAAGACCATATGCCGTGTAACACTTTGTTTTACAGTCAGCGGGATCACAACGAATGGGTATCAAGGTGCACTCACACTTCCCCAATAAGCTACTACCACAAGAGCATGCTCCTTTGCATTCCATGGTCCTGGGTTAAAACTCCATTTGTAACCAAAGGTATTGAAGACTCTCTTTGGTAGGTAAGCAGCCATTAGAGTTCCCATACCCCAAGAGAGAAGTTGCACGGCATAGCTCGTGAGATTCATGGCGTATGGTTTAAAGTAGTAAAATGAAGAGATTCCGCATCCAATAACCACCCAGAATGTAGAGCAGAACCAAAATCGAAATGTGAGAATGGGTTCTCTGTAGAAGAGTTACGAGTATCAGTATTAAACCTCTATGCTTTACCACAATAGGAACTCACGTAGGATCGTTGTGCAAGTCAACTGTCTTCGCCACCAATGGGATAGGATAATCTTTGAGACGAGGGTCTATGAAGACATCATCTTCTCCAGGTACAATGATCTTTTCGTCAGAGATATCTTGGAAATTGTTTGAGTCGATAGCTTCGATCTCAATATCTGCGGTCTTCTTGTCTGAAACAGGAGACTCTGTGGAAATTTGAGAAGTAGAGTCCCCTCTTTCTGGATGTGCATTGATTGTATCCATAATGGGCACAATCCGCAGGTAGAGAAAACACAAAATCTTAACAATAGCTTGAACACAGAAATCTTTTGGGGATTGCTTTAGTATGTTTATATACCCCGCCCTTGTGTTATCTTATGAGCCTTATCTATTGACTGAGGGGTTTGCCTCACAGCAGCCATTTGAAATTGTTGCAACCATTAGATTACACCTTTTTGATACAGAAAGAATAGCGAGAACCTCAAAAACTCGTGGATGCTATCATTCAAGAGTGGATCTAGTGGTCCAAAGAGGTAGCACACCCGAAGATCTACAACTTTCAATATATTCGGCAGACCATGCTCTCTGCATTTAAAAATTGATGTACTTCGTATACTTACTTCTGTCGAGAGATAAGAACCCGAGGGGCAAAGAATCATGGTTTAGAACTTACAATACTCTTGACGACTCCCGGAATCAGCACTTGCACTTGTACCTTCAGAGAAAACACATGCCGTCCGTTTGCCCGATGGCAATCAGTTTTGCCACTTATCCTGAGAGTCTACAGACATTCTTGTTACAATCCTCCACGAAAATGTCACAAGATTCCCTGCAGCGATATCCATATACGGAACTTAACTGCTAGTTACATGCATGTATGCAGGCAATGCAAGATAGGAGGACTCTGAATCAGTAGTCTCTGATATGGTTCTAAATAGTGGGGGAAAAACGACCAGAGAGCCGCAAATCAACCGAACTCCGCACCAACGGGTTGGTAACATCATGAAAGTTATTGGATAAATGTTCATAACTCGACTTGAGATACTCGATTTTCAACCCATTTTCGAAGAAACGCTATCAACATTTTATTCCAATGTATAACACGAAATAGGCAGGAGTCAATTGCGCCGAGGAATCGATAATGGAAAGTAGATATTTCTTGACGCAATTGGCTGTTAACCTTACACGGCACAAGATAACGAATTATCATGGGCCAAAGCTTCAGGCCGAAACCCCGATTGAAGCCGCGTTTCTCATGATAACATTAGCGAGGACTCCACGATGTAATGTCTGATAGGGACGAGAACCTGATTGGTATATTTTTTGAATCCTGCGATTTTGGTTTAGAAAAGGAAGCGAAGAGTACTTGATGGGAAGAGGTAGGTAGGTATTAAGTAGTCACGAATTGTGGCAGTAGATTTATGTGAGCGTCGGTATGACTCACTTGCTACGCGATATCTTGGAAGGGGGCGGATATGTTGTGTATGGTTATATGATTTTACAGTTGAGCTAGCAGGTTAGTGGAATATATGTGCTATTGGCTATGTAGATTGATTGTGTTGAACCAGAATCTAAACTCTGGAAGTGGAGGAGAGGTAAAAGTGGAAGTGGAAGTGGAATTGGTAGAGACATATACTCTTAGCGGTAGTGCACGTGCCTCCATATTCCAACGACATGTAAGGTTTCCGCGAGATTCAGAATTCTGCATTGGTGGAGTGCTTTAGATGCCTAGTGAGAGAAGTAAAACATGCCTCAATTTTGACAATATGTTTTAATGTGCAACTATACGCCTAGTGGTGTTGGTGAGCTCCCTAGTCACAATCTCATGTGCTATCACCAAAAATAAGATATCGCCATCTTCACTCTCTCGTAGCCATACAGATACACAAACATAAAGATTGCTTGATTGAAAGCTTGCCAAGCTCTCAAAGTTTGAAAGTAATCACTGTTTGATCTTAGAGTTGTTCAACAAGATGATTAAACCAATTTTGGCAAAGAACAGAAAGATTCCTGATTGGCAGTGGGTGTATTCAGGATGAGTGTCCTTGATAAATCACGTGATTTTTGGTGAATTGGAGGAAGGTAGATTTATTTGGGTAGGAAGAAATTTGGACAAGCAATTCAATGAGAACCAAAGAGGAAAATCACGCTATCTCCTGGTCAACAAAAGACAGCTTTCCGAAGTTTGAATGTAAACTATGTGCCCCACCCATGAATTGTAGAACTTTTTGTTGAAGTTGCACACTGGTTCCCTCGATCGGCTTGGCTTGATAGGTTAGAATCAGTTTGTTGGGATTGGAGAAGATCGGAGAAGGACTATTATTCTCATCCAAAGGGAGTTGAAAGTTGAATTCGGTTATCATGTTGTTTTCATGAAGCTGGCTCAAAATTGTACGGCCCGGAGAAGATTCCAACGTCAGACTTCAAAGACGATATTAACATAGAGTAAAGAAAGCAGATATATCATGTTGTTTGTTCACGACAAACAAAGTGAGAAACAAGTTCCTCCACGGCATCTTTCCAAAGTGTTCACAATTCACAATGATGCAAACTTTTGTCATGTTAGCTGACCTCAAACAAGTCTCCTTGGCGAATCACCATAGGATTTTATCAATGACTATAACTATATTATAAAATTTCTATGACATATTGATGGCAAAGAGCATATAAGAGCCATCGCTATGTTTGCCCCTGCCCTATAGATATCTTATATGATACAGAATTTTAGGTAACAAGTAACACATTACAACCTTTAGTCTTTCATGGAGTTTTTTTTTCATAATTAAATGTCTTCTTGGAAGAAATCTGTATCCCACATAGTATCTGACATTCACTGAGTGTCCGACTATCATGTCTTCAACAATCCTAGATGGAGATTTCCTAGGGCAATGTATACCAGAGCAAATAAAATTCGAATATTATAAACACATGAGACTCAGTGTTTGAGAGTGAGAGATCGGAACAACCTTTCCCCTTTCCATCAACAATTTGGCACCACGTGGAAGCGGGACAGAAAAGAAATTATCAACCTTTGTAGTTCGAATCTGTCCCGTGTTTTGAAAAGGATTTTTTCTCTCTTTATATTCGAGCTATGATTGAACTTCCCACTCTTTAATTTCTTTCTCCTACAAGTTTCTGCGCTCTTCAATCTTCTTCTCAATAATTGCTTCTATTACACAATACTTTGAGCACTTGCTCTGCTTGTTTGCAGTCTGTCTTTTAGAGCTTCTTGCTTCCATTTGCTTTTCATACCTTTGTGCTTTTCGTCTTCTTTAATACCTTTTTAATCTGACGCCTTCTCAAATAAGCTTCTTTCGACATGGATTCCGCTTATGTTATCACTCATGAGCAACATCTCTTCTTCGAGGAGAATGGTTACTTGATCATCACTGATGCTGTGAGTGAACAAGAGATTAAGGACCACAAAGTATGGGCACAAGCTGCACATGTTCTCCCACGAGTCAAAGAGGCTTGTGAGTATCTTCAATACGATGAGATCAACAAGAAGGGAGAACGTGTGCTGTGTAGAGTTGAAAACTTCACAACTGCTGTACCAGGCTTTGGCTCACTGCTTCGTGGTATAAAGCTTGTTAGTATCGTTAGTCAGTTGGCAAATGGCCAAATGGTCTTGTTTAAGGACAAATGTAAGTTTAGCATTTTTGAACCTTTGATACTCTGCTAACTTCTCAAGTGAACTACAAGTTTGCTGGTTCTGGCGGATTCGCTGCACATGTTGATCGTGCTGGCTATGGTGCCTTCAGAAACCTTAAGCACTTGTCTATTGCCATCGCAATCGACCCAGCCAACCAAAAGAACGGTGGTATGGAGGTGGTTTCTGGTAGCCACAAGATGGAGATTTCAATCAGTGCCGACAAAACTCTCGAGAAGAGTTGGGTCAAGTCTCAAGAATGGATCCCAGTTAACCTTGAAGCTGGTAGGACAAACTTCCTCATTCAAATGACCAAAGTAAAGACTAACAAATTTTGCACAGGTGACATCCTCATCTTCGGAACCTCTTTCGCTCATAGGAGTGGACCCAATAATAGCACCGATGATCGTCGAGTTCTCTATGCTACCTACAACCGTGCAGTAGATGGCGACAACCACGACGCGTATTATCTTGAGCGTGCCAAGAGATATCCATCTACCCACCACCGAGTTCCCGGCGTTGATTACATCAATGGTTCAAAGGATTATGCGTATGGTACACCAATGCTTACAATTGAAAGATTGGTTGAGCCAACAGTTACAAAGGAGAAAGACGGCGAGAAGGCATCTTCTGACTGATGTACGGATTGGTAGAGATGAAGCATGAAATATGATAATGAAGAATTATAATGGCATAAGAAGGCGTTATTCGGGGTGGCGGACTTGTCTTCATTCTTCATAGTTGCTAGCATAGATCCTAGGGTCATTCTAGCCAGCGTTCATTCGTGTTCCCACTTGGGTATGCTGGTTCCTTAAACCTGGCCCGAATGATAGTAAATAAAGTGCAATAACTCAAAAATGTCTCAGTTTGCAATCTTATTGCCAAAAAATGAACTATAATACGTGTCTACCAAAAGAAGTAGCATCTAAGCTGAATATCTAGGAAACCATATGCATTGACAGATTCGCGGTGCAAGATCATACATATAACTGTAGAGGCAGTACAAAGATAATCAACAAACATTTTGCTCAATATGAAAAGGTGAAGATATACTTGATAGAGAGTAAGGTATATATATTTCCAATAATATTAGTTGATCATTATGGAAATCTTGAAAGGAAGATGAAAATTGTGTTTAGGTAGTTGAAATTTCAATGGATGTTGCCTAGAGCCACACATTCTGACTACGTAGCTTGTTCAGCCACATCGACGAGCACACCTACCGAGCCTATCTCGTGGTTGCCTAATCAGGTGACCTCCGCGAGGACGAGTAACTTATTTCAAACAATTATCCCTCATTTTCATTCATTGGTAGAATGGAAGAACAATATGAGAAGAAGTCAAAGTCTTTACCTTGGTGCACGAAGCTTCTAGCCAATCAAAGTTACATATTGAGCCCGAAACTTTCCTCGAATGACAAATCAATTAACCGATATCCCTATATCGTGCACGACCCTGTATCTTGCACACTTTAATTTATTGAATTAAAAATTGATCATAAATTCAAAACTATTTATAATAATATCAAAATTTATAAAAAAAACAAATTGAAGATTAATGAAATATAATAATCAGGTTTTAATGAATTTGAAATATTAAATAGAATATTAATTGATTTAAAAAATAATATTTTAAGATATTAATAATTTAATAAAAGTTTATATTAGAATGAATTTATATTATTAAAAATAAGTTTTTCGAATTAATTTATATTATTATTATTAAAAAAAAGTTTGAAATTTTGAAAAATATAAAAAATCAAGTTTTAAATACGATTTCAAAAATATTTATAATATTCAAAAAAATAAAAAGAATTTAAAAATATTTCTTTATAGATTTTAAGAATCTGGAATTAGTATTTTAATTTTAATTAGAAAATTAAACTTTTATATATTAGAAAATCTATAATATAATAATAATAATAAATAATTAAAAATTATAACTTATTTTTATTTATTTATTTATTTATTTATATTAATTAACGTCTGTCTTGAACCTCCCTAAGGGTATTTAGACGTGCTAAGATAAGGGACTATTTGAGCGGCGTGATCGTCGCAACCGAATTTAGCAATTTAACTTCAATGCCAGGGGCTGTTCGCTCCTCTGCAGGTGCGATCCACTTCTGTTTCCAGAAGGGTACGTCTGATCCGGGTTCTTGTTAGGGTAGAGCTTGGTTCCCGGGTGGATAGGCTCGTTGTGGGCTCCGATCCCTATGGTGAAGGAGAAGAAGTGGGAGTGGGTTGCTATTTGTTTAGCCGAGCGGCAAGGCTCTTATATTGTATATTGGGTTTGCGGTTTTTAGGGGTGTGGTATATTCGAAAAATTATAACTTATTATGTTATAAATTAATATATAAAATGAAAAAAAAATAACATATTCTAATTTCTTAATAAATAAGTCTATTAAACTTTTTTTAAAAAAAAAATATCATAAATCCATTTTTAAAAGAATTTATTTTCTTAAAAGAAGCCCTTAAATTTTATAATATTCCTAATAATTTTACAAATTAAATATAATTATAATTCAATATTATAATATATTCTTTTTTTTTAATATTCAAATTAGTTATATTTCTAATAAATTTAAAAAGAGTCTTTTTTAGAAATGTTTTATTATTAATTATATAATCCTAATATTTAATTTTTATAATTTTTTTGATAATTGATTATATATATATATTTAATAAAATATAGTTTTTTTTAGTTTTTTAATTAAAATTAATCTATTAATAATATTATATAATTAAAAAAATTGAAAATTATTATAAAATACTTGATTTATAATTAATTTTTATTTTAAAAAAGATTATTTATAAAAACTTAAATAATATATTGATATAATATCAAATTTATAATATAAAAACTTAATTTTTTCAATTCTTTATATTAAAATATATTCAAATTTATATAAAAAAAATCAATTTTCGTTATTCCTATTCATAAATAAATTAATATATAATATTTTTATATTAATAATTTTAATATTGAAATTATATTATATATAATCATTATTTTTATATTTTAATTACTTTATAAGAAATAAATAATAATATAATATATTATTTATAATTATTAATAGAATTCAATAATTGATTGATTATATATTGAATTTAGAATATCTTTTTTAAAAGAAATAAAAGTGTGCACAATACAGGGGCGTGCACGATGTAGGGATATCGGTTACCAAGGATTTCCTTCTCACAGAAATTATGAAGGCCGATGATGACATCCGCAGAGCATTATCTTTCTGCCTAAGGCATATACATACACTTCAAAAACCAATGAGCTAGCAGACATACCACATCTTAGAGATGGAATGAAAGGAATCACACATACACCACATAGTGGCAATGTGGTAACTTTGATGATTTGTCCTTTGGGCCGTTGATGCTACTTTGAGAACTATAGCCGTCGAAAAGACTCAAACGATGGTCGCTACTAGACTCAATGTTTTCTGCAAGAATTCTATCGAGACAGCGAAGATTGCACGGGTGATGGGACGACTTCCAGCGCCTATAGGGCCCAATGTTTATAAGGATATTTGGATTGATGATGTTAACGAAGCGGTGTTGACAACGGATGGAAGCGTGGGAATCCGAACCAAGCAAAAGGTACAATGACGTTTAGTAGGTTCCTTTAGCTTTAGCGTTGGTAATTCTCACTGTTATGCTCATCAGAAGCCAAGGTTACGAGATTGTACTAACTCTCTGCTGTGCTCCAGATGCATCACTCACAGTTTGGATCTCGTCCCGTAAGGTCTAGTTACCACACCAACATCGAAGTATTATTTTTGATGGCAAGGCTTTGTTGGATTATTGATCGAATGAGCGCAATTTCCCATTGAGAGCGAAGGAAACAAAGATGGCCTAGAGTACAGGTAGGCGATGCTATCCAGGACAGCATAAAGAAAATATATTTTTCAGAACACCGTTTCCTTGGTGGACACTACTACTGGAAGAACTAGAAAATTCGGTATCTACCTCGGCTGCCCGGTTAAATATTGAAGTTTTCTTTTGATCATGAGGCTAGAAATAGAGAAGTTACATCGCACCAGTTACTTGTTGAGTACCCCTTCGAGCCACGCTCCACATTAGCGTCGATGTCTCAACAATTTGGACTAACTATTACAAGCGTTCAGTATTATTCTAATGTATGAGACCAGGTTTGCATAGTTAAAATTGGTGCAATTGTTACTCTGCACCCTTTGAGTCAACTGGCGAAGGATCTAAAACCATTGATTACTGCACAAATGAATCGATCAAGTAGTCTGCCTATTCGTTGGAGTATATCTACACACGCAACAGCTCGAAATACTCAATATACTGCCCCAAAACCCAATAACGGGGACTTGACTACTTCCAGAGTTACTTGAAAGATCGAAATAGTTCAAGGAAATTGATCTACTCTCTTATGATATCTGGCACATAAGGTGTCCCCGTATCTCTGGAATCTCACATGATTGTGATAAACTATAAAATAAAATAAAATGACTCCTAATTGCTTAATGTCGAGATTCTCCTTGCTCTGTTCTATCTCTGTGATCAAAGTTGTTCATTTGAATGAATTCATCTCAATCTCCTTGGCATGGGAAAGAGTGGTCTCCTCTGAAAAGACCTCTTGAAGAGCATTATTTCTTTTTTTCTTCTTGTTGTTTATCACAAAGACACTTCCGGAAACGATAAAAACTTCCTGACCCTTTGTACTCCATCACGATTTGACTTGTGCTTGTTTTCTTTGTGAACTTCTTGCCAACATAACAAAGACATCATCAAGTCCGAGTATAACTTTTTATGAAATAACTAGTGTTGACAATCGAAATATGATTATATCAAACACTTCCTCTGGTTCTTACAATTCTTCCAAACTCTGTCATCCCATGCCTCACCATTAAGTTAAGATGACGGAACAAGTGATAGATCCAGCTAAACCTATCTTGTCATTTAAAGATGAAGTATTGATTGTTCAGGGTCATAGACAAACATATGAACAGCCGGACGAGATAGCTCTCGAAATCATTGACAAAGCCATTCATGATGATGGAAGAGGGCCACCAAGAGCTCCCGGTGGAAATCCGAAAGACACCAATCTCCTTCCATTTCAACAATTATCGTTACTCGATCTTCAAAGGTTCTTGTCATTTTGCGGCCCAGTCAACGGTCCAGATGAATCTGTGGACTATAATGAAAGAATAGGCGCCAGCATTCTCAAAGTAACAGATGCTTATCTCCGTCAGATATGTCTTTTCGTAAATAGTCATTCACCAATCCGAAATACGCGCGATGACTATCCAACAGTGGCTTATTTACCGTATGACTTTTGGGCTCCACCGACTAATCCGCCTACAGAAGAATACATAGAAGATAGGGCAAAATTCATAAGGACGAAGGCACGTCTTCCACCTCAAAGACTTAGAGCTCTTACCCACTTATTCATTCATATCACACCATTCCCAACGAATCTTGCTATGAAACCAGACAGCGCCTTGATAGTAGTAACTCCTAGAGCGGCTACAATAGAGTACTTTGATTATCTGGACCACCCAGATAAACATTACATAATAGGGGATATTATGAATGTGATATCTCGTGTGGATCCAGATCGAGATAGCACATGGCTTGAGTTCGCAGATTGGAAATGTAGAACTGGAGAGAATTGGGGAGCGCATGATGTTTCGGACCGACCACCTGCAAGATTGAGAGGAAGTCAAATTCATGTTTGTACAGATGCTCTTGGTCAAGCTTTTGGACATAATGTTCGTATCAATTACCCAATGGATCCCGGGGAAAAGATGAATTTCTATGGCACAGAATATGATTTCGTGAACTGGAGAAAAGGAATGGTTATTACGATCGATCTTTATCTTGGTTATTTCTCAAATGTCATCACAGACCGTCAATTCAAACCTCGAGTTAAGAGAATCTTTGGTCATCGTCCTTATAAGGAAGGGGAGAATCAACCTTGGATAGATAATGCGAGACAGAGAAGAGGGGGTACTCGATGGTTACATTTCAACAGCAAAGTCTTTAGAAGATTTTTATCGAGAGAATTAGCTCAATGGAATGCATCCAATATTTGGAGAGGACTTGATGAAATGGAATTGATTGATAAAGCTAGAATAAGAGAGGGCTATGCCAATAGATTAGGTAGATATGATGATATGCCCACAGGGGCTGAATTAGGAGAATTTGGGAAAGAGATGAAGGGAAGAAGGACAAGAAGGTTGAGGAGATGGTTAGAGGATAAGGATGTTGATGAAGGCCACAGAGTAACACGTTATCATAAAGATACAGAAACGATTGGATGGGTAATTGGCAAAGGATTGTAGTGAAAGGGTGGATGGAAACAAAGGTTGTACCGACTCGCTTATAGGGACTCGATTCTTATGAGTCTTATCTTGTATTTGATCCTTTCGGAGTCACTGTTATGTATTATTTCTTTTTCCATGCCAGTTACATCTGCGAAAAGAGCCGCAGCACCTGCATTGGAGGTGAAATAGTATATTTATCCAGACATATGGATTGTGTTGTACACCTCTAGTTTATGTGTAACATGTAACTATAGTGGTTCGTTGGTTTGTGAGCTAGCTTGTGGAGAAATTACAACCTCAACCATCTTTGTACTCAATAAGCAATTGTTTTGAAGTTCTAGAAATTCATTTGACGAAGTCAATGAAAGATATGTGTACATGGACCAAGTTTGGTTCGTGGTGTAAAATTGCTAACAGATTCAAACTATTCAACTCAATCACCAAAATCTTCACTCAAGACAATTCTTCTACACCTTAATCTTGAGTTACAAATCCTACCCCCTATCGCCACTCAATCCTACCCACCCTGGACTTTCATTTCCTGCCCCAAGACCTCCTACAAATCCCTTCCCAATGTCCAAAGTACTACTTCCTCGACCGATATATCCTATTCCCCGACCCAAAACCTCCGCATAACTTACCAATCCAAGTTTGACAGCATCTTGTATCATATCTAATGTATCATGTACTTTTAGTGCCCTTTTGTATTTTTGTTTTAAAACTGGATCGGAAGGTTTACGTAGATGTATGGTATAGGTTTGAAGAGTTGCAGAAGAGTATTTGGTGCAGAGACCGATGAGATGGCCTATGGATGAAGTGGTATAGTCGGTGGAGTCACGAGTAAACGTTATGTAAATTGAATTTGGGACTTGAGTTGTGTCGGGAATGGATAATTCGACTTCGGATGAGGTGGTCTTGGGTATGAGTTTTCCGTCCTTGAATTCCTTCCCAACTATATCTATAAGTTTAGATATGTGCTGACCATCCTCTACTTTTTCTTAGCCTCACTACTGTTTATCATCTTTTCTTTGCAGGAGTTGTACACTCACTGTAGATGATAATCCCTTTGTGAAATCTAGCATTCTCGGAATAACTAATTAGGAAGAAAACATCCACAAAGCCTATGAGTCGAAGTCGGCCAGACCAACGATCTCCATTGATGAGAATTTCCCATGGGTGTATATCACTAAAAGGTATTTAATGAATAATTCCAACCAAAGCGTCTCTCATTTCTGAAGTAAAATAATAGCGTACCAGTCACATTGTAATGCTTTATCTTCAATTGATCTTCCAAAGACTTTGAGGACTCGATGATATGAAGCCATTCTTGCTCTATCAGCACGTAAAACTTGGTAGATTCTCCTCAAAGAAGTGGATAACGATTTTCTATTCAAAAGACTTCTCTAATTTGATCCTAGAACCATCAAATCTCACCCATGCGAGTTTTCAGGATCAATGCTTCCGATCCATCGGCAAATTTCCGAATTTCCCATCAAAGGATTCGACCCAGTGCCGAAACGACAAGGGCTTCGTATAAGTATTATACATCAAGTATTGAATCCAAAAACCTTGTTGCATTCATAGCCATTTAGTCAATAAAACCATGCTTTGGGAAAAGTGGCTGGCTGAGAAATTGAGTTAAGGGTGATGGTCTGCAAGACACGTGTAGAGGAGTTCCCGAGAGCGTGGGGTGATTGGAGGGGTAAGATTTCAACGTCGCAATTGTCTCAGCGCCGTTATAAGAAAACAATCGCAATACCTTTTTGGCGGCTGATAGCGGGAAACAATGAAATATGATGAGATAACGGATTGATCTATTGTTGCGAGGGTATCTTCAAATCTCGATCGTAAAGCAAGCATATGATAATTTTGCTTGTTGCTTCCACGACGTGAAATTCATCAGAATAGCTTCTTAGAGCTTTCGTTACAGGATTTCCTGTCCTCAAACTGCCCGTTCCTGCGTTATTTTTACATTGATCCTCTTAGCAAGCTGGCTTTTAGATATCAAAATGACTTCCTGGGCAGATCAGAATGATTTACTTCGTTTTGGGAAGAAAATTCTCGATACAACAGGTACACCAACACCAACCGAGAAATCTCTCATTTCCTCCCTCGCTAGTGCCACGGGCGTAGGTTATAATGTTGCTCGCGATGCCTACGTCAAATCTGTTCTTGATCCTTTGTTACAAGACAAAGTTCACAAATCGATGAAATGGATCATCAATTCCAACTTCGTACCGGAATTTGTTGATCCGAAAGAGAATGGCATAGGCTTGGATGATAATAGTTTTGAAGGAGAAATCATCGACCCAACGATATTTAATGTGGATGGAGTGCCAAGCCCTAAGAGGATGTTCAATCTTGTTACGGGAAATATGGAAGATTGGCCAAATGGACAGTATGTAATATTGAGTCATAGTTGGAAAGGTCAAGAAATTACTTTCCCATTTCTTCAAAAGATCAAGGAAAATGCAAGAAAAAGAGAAGTTTATGAGATGACGCGTGATTCTCATGACGAAGATGAGGATGCAAAAAGATTCGCCAGTTTCCAAGTTAAGAAATTTGGTCATTTAGAAGCTGGCAAGAGTGATGTAGAGCTACTCGCTGCTCAATGCAAGAAAGATGTTGATGAGCAGATCAAGAAAGTTGAGATTGTCTTGAGTCGTTCTGGGAAGAAATTAGATTCCCTCAACACAGGCACTTTCCTCGCGGAGTTAACCGAATTTAAAGAAGCTACTTCGGAAACAAGAAACCTTCGCAAAGAACTCGTCGCAAAGAGAAAAGATGTGGAGGTAAAAAAACTGGCAGATAAGAATCTAGAGAAGGGAAAGCAAGACATGGGAGTTGATGATTCAGAAACACCGGTTGAAAACGAGGCGAACAAAGTCAATATCCTGAACTATAGCAACAATTCATCGAAAATCAATTCAATGCTTCTTGACCTTGAAGAGAAAACGCGACTCGCAGAAATGAGACTTAAAAATGCAACAGAGAAACACGCCATCTTAAACGAAATTCCTGGCCTACGTTCCGCAATAGAGGACTTCCTTCCCATCTTGGAGAGGCGAAAGTCTATGTATAAAATTGAAAGCTCTATTCGGGAAGCAAAGAGAATCCTCAGTTCTGGCTTATTTCCGTCCAATGGTCGTAAACAGTATCTTTGGAACGATACCATTTGCATCAATAAAGGCGACGCAAATGAGCAGAATGAATCACTTGCCATGATGGGACAATGGTACAATAATGCAGAATTTTGTTTAGTACATCTCGATACATCAAGCTCAACAGAGTGGGTTAGTACTTGGCATAGTATCAATATGGATTCTCCTGGTACATGGGCTTGTGATGCAAATTTCACCAAATTTGAAGACGTGAAGTCACCAAAATGGTCGACTAGAGGATGGACTTTGCAGGAATTGGTCCTAAGTAAAATGGCGTTCTATGTAAACAATCTTTGGGAGCCTTTGCCTAGAGTCGTAGAAGGTTTGGGACCGTATTACTACCATTGTTCTTATCTTCAACAGCACATACACGAAGAAGATATAATCAATGCGCCTAAAGAAGCAAAACTTTTCCTTTTTAACTTGGAAAATCTGAAATTACTCATGGATACCGGTGAGAAGGTGCGTATATCTGCCATGGTTCTTGTGAGACCATTCTTTCAATCAGAACTTCGGATAAGCTAACAAAGATATAGATTCCTTACTTTGATTCAACAGAAGGCCTTGAAAATTCAAGAAGACTCATTGGTATTCTTGGCTACCTCGGAATTCAATTTCCTGGAGAAATGAACGACGACAATTCAGGGGCCCATATTCGGGACATAATATCACGGGCCGGATATGATGTTGAATCAAGAATCAATATGGAAACACCCGCCGCTGAGACCCTTCGGAAATTATTTACAACTCTTGGGTTTGATTTAAATGACAATTCAATTAGAGCTCAAGTAAGGATTTTGATCAAACTCTTGATCAGAGCCTTGGTCGATGATTGTGTCCCTGCTATTGAAGCAGATCGAAGTAAAGTCTCTGAATTCACCAAAGTACCTCCTCCTGAGTGCTGCCGTGGACTTAGCAGACCAACCCTTCCAGCTCACGATACTTTGTCATTAGCATCATATCGAGAATGTACCGTTCCTATTGATAGAGTTTACTCACTCATGGGAGTTCTCGGTGTAAAGTTTTCAGCTTTCCATGCGGAAGGTCCAACCAAAGCCCTTTGTCGGCTACTTGACGAGGTCGTCATTTCCACCAATGATGTTTCAATCTTTAGTTGGGCAGGTAAAGATCTTGGAAGCCCAATTAGAGGACGATCTTTATATCCATCGAGTTTGACCGCCTTTAGTCCAGAGAAAACGGACAATTATTTCACTACGAGGAATGGTGAATTGGCGGCCGCATACAAGGAAAATAGATATAGATTGCAAGATACAGCATCCAAGATCACTTTACTATTGAGTCAAACCATTGACTTTATCAAAAAAACAGCTCATCGAGATATTCCAGTCGGGTTACTCCAAACTATTCTCAGATTTATTGAGGATACCAGCCTGAAAGAACTTAGGCCTCAATTGATCCACCTTGGGAAGCTAGTAGTATACCTCGAGAATACTCCAAGTTTCGAGAAGTACAAACCAAAAATTGGCTATAGAACTGAGAAAGAAAAAGCACAAAAAGCGCTTGTTCGTGAAGAAGAAAAACCAGCAACTCAAAATAACATCACCATGGCTTCGAAGTTTGGATTTAAAACACCTCAAATACCTCAAATACCACAGATGCCACAAATCTCCACACCGAAGCTCAATATAGGACTCAAGGGATTTGGCAGAAAGACAAAGGAACTAGTAGCCCCTATCAAGGAAAGTGTAGATGCTCCACCAGTCCTTCACGTAAAGCCTGAACTTTTAGAGGTCGATTATCTAATGGAAGAAGAACCAAAGAGTTTAATCGATGAGGTGAATCATTGGTTATCCCAAGATCAAGATATCAACAGCATTCCGAAAGAATTCCAACCACTCTTTGATGAAATCAAAGCTCCCAAATTAAATGGTCCACCGATGGGAAAACGTCAGAAGCCACAGATAACCAGAGAACTTCTAGGTTCTGGTATGATATGTCCAAATCCTATCATGCTTACAACATCTGGTATTGAAGGTGTCTTTGATATCCAAAGGGTCATAATCGAGATGCAAAATTCGGAACACCTTCGATACCAAGTACAAAGCGCTGTGAACGATAGTCAAAAGATAAGTGGGCATTGTACAATCAGTACTGCACTGTCTATGATAAAAGTCAATTTTACTTGTGAGGCAGGGGCCCTGAGAAAGCAACTAGACGTTTGTGATGTGGTTCAGAGAGCTCTGTCTGAGCAAGAGGAAAAGAGAACATTTGGTCCAACAAATTCCAGACCAGCTGTTACCACAGGACAAGAAAGTGATAGTTATTACAAAAAGCTCACCTCGTTGTCCTCTGGTTTTATGGGCAAAGTGCCTGAAACAGTCGGTTCCACAGGAGAAGAAAATCAAAACGCCTCTACTCCAGATCCATCAGCTCAAGTCCAAACCTTAGGCGAGAATTCGGAACAGCTTCATGTGGTTCGTATGTTGGATTTCGTCCAAGAAAATGATATTAACCTCATTGTGGGTGAATGGGTCCTTGCTAGGTTTACGGGCGTTGAAGGAGCAAAATGGTTCCTATGTCAATTGGAACTGGGGTCAACTCACAGTTACTATGGACGACGAATCGCTACAGATAAAATTGACTTCGAGAATGTGGTACCTGAACCTGGACTTGTTGATCACTGGGAAAGCTATATGAGAAATAAGAAAACCGAACTTTGTCGTATTGTAAATGTGTTAGTTCAAGGACGGGTAGCTCGACAGTATGCAGACTCAGTTACCAGCTCGGAAATCAAACCTGAAATTGATGATGATTCAGATCATGAGGGTTCAGATAATAAGGAAAAGCTCAAAGACTTTCTTTTTAGGAGAGGGACACTCATTGGTGCCGGACTTGTACAAACGCTCACTGATATCTGGGGTGAGAGATTGGAAGCAATGTTGAATGATACTGTTCTTCAACAGGTTCCAAAAGGACTCAGAGCTGCCATCATGAATTTGAACGAGAATGAGGATTTGTTACCGGCTATGTTTCTGAGTGGTATCCAGGTACATATGTTCTAGATACGAAAGATTGGCTTGTGTATTCTAGTAAGAAGATGTTTATGTTCGTACTCGTGGCCATGTTGATGTTGTGAACCAAAAGCTTCGACTTTCTCAGCCACAGTGGTTTCAACAGAGGTTACCTACTATTCATACCTAGGTATCATGTGTGTGAGGTACCTGGGCACGTGCTAGGTACCTAGTTGTAGATTCGTAGGTTCATAGAATCGTACCTTGACTATTCGTAGGAGAAAAAACAGGCCGCAATTGACCATTTAAATCTTCATCAGAATCTTCCAATCAATCAAACTATAAATCAACTCCAAATAAAATAAATAAATCTAATACTATCAAATTAATTCAAGTTTTCCAATTATATTGATCTTTATAAGAATCTATATTTTATTTCAAATTGGAAGAAAAGAATTGGATTGTTATAAGCATTCAGAAGTGGTCAAACCTTGCCTCTTTTTTCTCCTACGCAGAGCTTGACCAATAGCATTCCCCACGGCGCGTCGGGTAGAAGACCCACCAACCAGCCCGGACTTTCTGAACTCTCACCCGTAAAGTTGGGAATTTCGTGATTAATCTACCCCAACCACCTCTTTCATGACATCGAGATTCGAAACATGCGAAACCCCATGAACACTCTCCAGTATGAACACTCTCCAATGAAAGGTTTCAGTGTCATATCTAATGGTATCAAGTAAGTATCGTTAATATCAATTGAATGAGTTGTATATGAGTTTATCATCTTGACACCTGGCTGGGTAGCATCTGGATAAGATTCAGCCTGAGATTGAGAAGTAGATGTGAACATATCATAGTAGAACACGATTTATTAAGAAGAGAAATCTCGTGATTGAGTACGTACGTACAATGATGCACGGCGTAAGGATATTTCTCACCGTGTGCTTGCGGGTCGATGTGGATATTATTCTGTCTCAGCCCTTTTGTGTAAGCCTGAAAAGCCACATAGTTGGGGGTTTAACCAATTCAGCCAATTCGAATAGCCATTATAAGCTTACTTTGAACGCCCTGGAACCCTCCATTTTAACCCTGCCCTGCATACACATCCAGTAATCAATACAAAAATGATGTACGGATCTACATACGATCTTGGGTTGTTCCCATTGCCGCCCTGAATTGCGTCTATCATGGACTGAGGTCATGCTGATTCCATTTCTCGAGTATTTGTGGATGGGGCCCCATATTCCATAGCCCATAGCCCATTGGCCCTTCAAGCTCACTGTAAGCGCCAGCTTATTGAGTGAGGACCTTGCATTTCATCCATTTTGAAGTTTCAAGACCCTTTAAATGTGTGGACGACCCTAAGAATTAATCTTGACGCAAAGGTCGACTTTTCACTTAAAAAGTCCTATCAAAATCATCTTGGTTTCGACCACAACCTTTCCAGATTCTCATTCGTGAATCGAGAAGCTTTCCGGAGAAATAACGGTGATACAAAGACCTGCAGCATAAGCCTACCAAGTAATCCCATCATCATGGTCGACGTTGTGTCTATCATCATCGCCGTCGTTTCTCTGCTGGGTTCGCTCGTGGCAGCAGGTTTCACTGGATGGATTTCATATTATTTGGACCAAGCCAAACAACGAAAAGCCACTAAAGCTTTGATTCACAAATATCGAGATCCTCTCACACTTGCTGCATATGATCTTCAATCTCGAATTTGGGGTCTTGTAAATACATTACTTGACTATTATGAAGATGAAGAAAAGCAAGAGAATATATATGTTTACACCGCATTTTTGATTGGACAGTATCTTTCATGGACATATATTCTACGTCGACAAGCACAATTCATGCAATTTTCGACGGAAAAAACAAATCAACAACTTAATAAAATTTTGGATGCTATTACAGAGCAATTCAGTTGGGACCGACACGCAGGGGAGGATCCATTTATGTTATGGCGCGGACAACAGATGGCCATCGGAGAAGTAATGACTATTGAAGAAGAAAAGGAACAACTTTATTGCATGGGATTTGCCGCTTTCTCAAAGAAATATCATACTGACGCCGGCTTTAAAAAGTGGTTCTTACCAATCGAAAGAGGTGTCAATAAGCTTGTGGATGCACGCCGACGACAAGATCCTATCGCGACTTTCAGATTGCGTCGATTACAACATCTTTTGATTGATTTGGTCCTTCTATTGGAGTTTCATCGTGTAACAAATGGACCAAATACGCAATTGAAGGTTGATGCTGCTGCATATGAATGCAAGTGCGAGAATTGTCCTGGCGCTGTTGCATCACATCCGACTGAAAAGCTACCAGTATGATGCTTTGCTTTGGAAGCAGTGAATGTGCTTCATCCAGAGATACGCCCAGTCTCAGCTATCTTGGATGACTCTAAGGACGGGGATCTTGGCAATTGACGGTTACATAGACTTGATGAAGACGACAAGAGGAGGATTCCATTCAATTGTTCGATATGGATCTAGGTGCTTCAGCGATTGTAGTCGATGCTGTTGATGATTTGCGTTAAGATGATTGAGATGGGACAATACGAATTCATGAATATGTTAGTTTATACGTCGTGTTATAACGGACTTTGAGGACTTGGTGATCTGGGATAAGATACCCAAACATGAGGAAATGACATGAAGTATAATATATATTGAACGACTTTGACTTGCTTGAATACTATGGCGCTCGTGTATCAGTGTTAATTTGGTGACGGTCCAAGAGTGGTAGCAAGTCTCTGTACATGTAATTCATGAGTTGTGATGTACGAGTAGAAGAATAACAATAATAGTCGGCTCTTATAAGCGGCCTCCTAGTTCCTAGTTGAGGAAAGCGGTTGTCCCCGGAAAGCGGTTGTTCTTAGAAAACTTCGAATAAATTATAATAATTAAATTATATCAATTACTGTTGGTTTGAGAAGGATACAGAAGACGTAGTACCCATAGTTTCGTAGATTTTAAGTGTCTATATTATATTCTATTTAAAGAGCTAGTTAAGTTATAAAAAGTTATAGATCTTATATAAATGTTATAAAAGAAACTAGTTTTTTCTATTTTCATTTAAAGTTATTATATTTTGTATTCACTAAAGACTTGTAATATAGTAACTAATGAATTAAAGTTATTCATTAAATCCTAATGATTAGTATTCATATACTAAAAACTCTCTTTTATAGTTTCAATTTATAACTTTGTTAAAGTAACAAAGTTTACCTTCCTTATTATTTTATTTTCTTTCAATCTATTTTATTACTTTAATATCAATTTTATTCGTATTAATAAGGTTAGTAAGTGTTTGATATAGTTTTCTTTTTGTCATTATATTAGTTGGATTAATTAGTTCATTAATTTATATAATTTCAACAATCTTTTTTCTTTTATAAGATTAATATAATGTTATGATATTAATTATTAGTCTTTTTTTATTAATTTTATTTAACTTAATAAGTAAATTATATAGTAACTTTAAATCAATATATAGAACTAATGGGATTTCTCTATCAAGAATAGTATTAATTGTAGAATTAATTGTTACATTAATATCGAATTCTTAAACTAATCTATACAGTTTTGAAGCTAGAATGTTATATGTAACTCTTTTATATTTAATAAATAATTAATAAATGATATTAGTATTATTATATTTATTTATTATAATAATAATATAATCTATTTAGAATAAATAATCCTTATTATTAATAAAACAGGTATTAGTAAAAATAATAATCTTAAATGAGTTTAAATTAAGTAGTATATAATTAAGTTCTTTCATAGAATTTTCTTTTTGTTATTTAATATATTTATTCAATACTATAATATTATCTTTTCTAGATTGTATTATTTATACTATTATTAATAAATTAAAAGATATTTTAGGTTAATATATAGTTATAATATATATATTATAAGCTTATTATATAATATATTGATTATATATAGACATATACTTTCGAACTTTGTTATATATATTATAAATATTTATTGATTTTTTAAAAATAAATTACAAATTCTTATACTACTTTTTTTAATTAAAATAAATATTATTACTTTTAAATATAAGAATAATATTATTAAATTCTAATAAATAATTGGGAATAAGTTCTTTATGATTTTTGGTTATAAAATTAACTTATTCAAGTTATTTGTTCTTAATTTGAATAAACTTATTATTCTTAATAATAAATATATTATCTATTTGGAGATTTATAATATTGAATTTAGTATTTTAATTATTAATATGTAAAAAAGTAAGGGTTATATATAGATTATTGTATTTTAAATTTTTTATAATAATAAATATGATGTATTTTAAATTAACAATTTCCTACTTCTGGAATATTATATAATAATTTTATAATAATTTTATAATAAATAAAATTATATTAGTTAATAAATTCATTTCTTTTAAAATATATATATAGAAAATGTAATATAAATTCGAAATCGATTATATATATATTTGAATAATATCTTGAATATATCTATCTATCTTGTTTTCTTTTTGACTACTAATAATCAAAGATATTAAAATATATTAATAAGATTATTAAATTATGAATAATTATATTAAAACGATAATCATATTAATATTGTTATATACTTAAATAATAAATTGTAATTTATAGAATTTGGTATTTATTCCTTTATTTTTGATTTTATTAATAAAATGTAATTCAAAGATATATAACTTATATCAAAAGGAATATTTATTAAAGGTATAACCTTAAATATATTCTTAATTATTAATTCATTAATCTTCTTTTTCCTAAAATCCTTATATATAATTGGATTTAAGAGATTAGTAATAAAGTGATTAGAGTTTGATATATAAATATAAATCTGAGGTAATGCTATTTAAGAGAAACTTATTAATATAAATATCTAATTATTTTTGAACAAATTCAAAAGGGGTTTTTTAAGGCTTATAACTTATATAATAACTTTATTAAAAACAAATAATACAAATAGTCTAACTTTACTAACTTATGATAAAGTTATTTTATATTTTTCAAATTAATTAGAAGTATAATTAAT